ATGGCTGCAACTCATGGCCAGGCAAGGGCTCCCTGGATGACCAGCCCCCCCCCCCATCCCACCCCAGAGATGGCTGCAACTCATGGCCAGGCAAGGGCTCCCTGGATGACCAGCCCCCCCCCACATCCCACCCCAGAGGTGGCTGCAACTCATGGCCAGGCAAGGGCTCCCTGGATGACCAGCCCCCCCCCCATCCCACCCCAGAGGTGGCTGCAACTCATGGCCGGGCAAGGACTCCCTGGATGACCAGCCCCCCCCCACATCCCACCCCAGAGGTGGCTGCAACTCATGGCCAGGCAAGGGCTCCCTGGATGACCAGCCCCCCACGTCCCACCCCTATTACCAGATTTGCCCGTTACTTTGGGGTACACTCATTTATTAGGGTTACGCTTCGGGGGGGGGGCGGGTCTGTAATTCTATCCACGTACGGCTTGTGTCACTTGTGTTCTTGCATGGAGCGCTACTTCTCCCTGCTGCAAGTCCCCTCCCAATGGAGCTACCCTGCAGGTCCTCGGTTCCCCACAGCTCGGTTCCTCCAGCCCCAGAATCAGATGAACACGCGCACCCACACCCACACCCCCACCCACACCCACACACATTAGCAGAGCACGTCTGAGTGGACCGGGTCAATCAGGACTCCCAAACTGACCCCTTATTTGTCCCCGAGCAGCACCTCCAAGCTGTCACCCTCATATGCACCGCACCGGAACAGAGCACCCCTGAGCCGGCTGGGTCGAGCAGCACCTCCAAGCTGTTACCCACCTATGCCCCAAGTTCAGCACATCCCTATCCCCATTTCCACGTTACAGTGGTTCTGGTCGTAACCCACTTGATGAGCAAACCCCACAGGATTTTGGGGTGCTGCAGGGATCTTTAGCTTAGGTAAGAGGAGCGTTGCTGCAGAGCGAATGGGGAAGCCAAAAACAAGAGAGAGAGAGAGTGCGTGAAAGAGAGAGCGCGCGAGAGAGGGAAGCAACCAGCTTAACCTTAAAAGTTATTTATTGCCTGGTAATAACCATACAAGGGGAGCCAAACAAACAAACGAGTTACATTATTGCATCTAGCTTCAATCTGATCCCACAAGTCAGGTTTAGAAAACTCTAACTGATCACACAAGTCAGGGTCAGAAGGCTGTACCTAGAGAGAGTGAGAGCTGGGTTCTCGCCACTCCGTGACGCTTGAACTGGTCGGGGTTCCCAGGTGGTGGGGGTAGCTGGGGGTCCGGAGTGCTGGAGCCAGGCAGAGCCCCCAGCACGATCAGTCAGGAGACGATGAAATCCTAATGGAACTGATGCAGATGTTGGATCCAGGCATCAGAGCACTTCCTTGAGCATGGGTCGGGGTCTTTGTAGGGAAAGAACAATGGTTCAAGGGAGAACACTAGATTTGTTTATGGGTAAACTGGTGGCTCAAGGGAGGATACCAAAATTGTTTTGTTCAGGCTAGACAATAGGAACTGCTCATTCCTGGCTATGGGCAGTGTTCCTTCAAGGGAGCTCACAGTGCAATTAGGCAGGTTCAGTATTGCGGATCCCAATCAAGGATTTATTCCTCGAATTGGTCTGATAACGGCTGAGCTGGGTGTGTGCAGGTGTGAGTTCATTAACATCTGGAGCAGGGATCCCCCATCATGCAGTTCATCCCTGCTTTTCTGGTTGCCTTGGAATCTCTGTTCTCCATTCTGTATGCTAAGGGTGATGCCTCCCTGTCCCATCTTCCATGCAAATGACGCTAGGGCAGTTTCCTTAATCCCGTCACCCTTGTCCGGAGGGCTGTAGGTGTGTCGCCCACGGCCTTTTCATTGCTTTTTGTAAGTTTTTCTTCAGTTCAAGTGGAGGCTGGGGGGTGGGGGGTCCTTTGTGAATCAGACAAGCTGGATACTGCACCCTGGTTCCCCAAGAACATAGAGCTGACAGGTAACACCCCAGAGGCGGCCGCAACTCAGGGCCGGGCGAGGGTTCCCTGGATAACCATGTCCCACCCCAGAAGCAGCCACATCTTGGGGCTGGGCGAGGGGGTCTCTGGATAATCAGCTCCCTCACGTCACACCCTAGTGATGACCGCATCTCGGCACTGGGTGCGGGCTCCCTGGATGACCAGCCCCCCTGTGCCCCATCCCAGAGATAGCTGGTGGGGAGGGCAGGTCTCAGCTGGGGTCTCTGAATCCTTTTCACTCCAGAACTTGTTCTTTTCAGGCCCCAAGAGGCCTGAGACCCAGGCGACGAGCCGCAGAGAGCATGGGAGCTCGGCCAGATCAGGTGAGTGCCCCGGGGCTGGATCGGAGCCGGAGCCCTGCAGAGGGGAAAGGTCCCTGCCCCATTTCCCCCCCTCCCCCAAGCCAGGCATTTTGGGTAATTCTCTCTCTGCCCCCACAGGAGCCGGCCAAAGCCAAGAGGAAATCTTCTCTTACGGTGGGTAGCAGCTGTCCCTGCCCCGAGCAGCAGGGGGTGCTGCTCCTCACCTCACTCCCCTCACAGTCACCCTGTTCCCCCCTCCTTTCAGATTACCACTCCCTGCGCAAGTGGGGCCTGATTGCCGCCGCCATCCTCTTCGTCCTGGGCATCCTCATCCTCACCTGTGAGTGGGGGCTGGGAGCCAGGACGCCTGGGTTCTCTCTCCGGCTCTGGGAGGGGAGTGGGGTCTGATGGGTAGAGCAGTGTGGGGTGGGGTTGGAACCAGGACGCCTGGGTTCTCTCCCTGGCTCTGGGAGGGGAGTGGGGTCTGATGGGTAGAGCGGGGCTGGGGGCTGGGAGCCAGGTCGCCTGGGTTCACACTCTTACTCTCTCCATTCCCAGGTGGTAAATTCGGGAAGTTCCACGGATGTGGGGGCCGGAAGCGGAGGAGGTGAGAGCCGCCCCTGTCCTCTCTTGGGCCCCGCAGGGTCCCCCCAGCCCCCCTAAGCCCTTCTTCCTTTTCCTTACAGCGCCTACGATATCTCGCGGCTCTGAGGCACGCCCTGCTGGGGGATGCCTGGGGGCCAGACACTGCGTGGAGGGGCCAGCTCGGAGCCCCACAGCGATGCTGCATGCCTAATGGGGGCTGGGGCAGAACCAGCAGCACAGACCAGAGGGCTGCTGAGTGCCCCTGGCTCCCTCCTCTGTGATCTGCATATCAGACCCCTGGCTCAGATCACCCCCGCCAATCCCCTCTAGCCTCCAGCCGACTCCCCGGCCTGGATCCTCCATCCCTCTCTTTTCCCCCTCCCAGCCTTGTCCCCTGATCCCTGTCCCCTCCCTCTCCCAGCCTTGTTCCCCCATCTCTGTCCCCTCCCCCTTCCTGGCCTGGATTCCCATCCTTGTCCTCCCTTCAGGCCTTATCCCCCCCATCTGAGTCTCCAGCCTGTGCCTGGCCTGTCCCCCGCATCCCTGTCCCCCCAACCTGTCTCTGAGCGCCGGTCGCCCTGTGTTGTATTTTGATGACATTAAATGACTCCCTCTGGGGAAGCAAAGTGTCTGTGAGCCTCTCATGCAGCAGGGCACGGGGGCAGGAGTCAGGACTCCTGGATTCTATCCCCAGCTCCGGGAGGGGAGTGGGGTCTAGTCGGTGAGAGCAGGGGCTGGGAGCCGGGACTCCTGGGTTCCATCCATGGCTCTGGGAGGGGAGTGGGGGTCTAGTGGGTTAGAGCAGGGGCTGGGAGCCAGGACTCCTGGGTTCCATCTGTGGCTGTGGGAGGGGAGCATAGCTCAGTGGTTTGAGCATTGGCCTGCTAAACCCAGGGTTGTGAGTTCAATCCTTGAGGGGGCCATTTGGGATCTGGGGCAAAAATTGGGGATTGGTCCTGCTTTGAGCAGGGGGTTGGACTAGATGACCTCCTGAGGTCCCTTCCAATCCTGAGATTCTGTGATTCTGTGGTAGCTCTTGCCCCTTCTGGTGGCAGCAGGGCTCCATTAGCACTTTGCTGAGCTCAGGCCAGTTCAAAGGGCTCAGAGAGTTGGCCGCCATGGGCTTTAGTGAATGAAAACAACCAAGGGCAGGAATTTCCCCCTGGGTGGAGCCAGCTCTGTGCTGGTTGCTCAAGGCCTGAACTGTGCTCAGATAATGAGCTACAGGTGGCTACATCTCAGCACTGGGTGAGCTGTCCCCATGGGGTGTTATGTGTGGCTGTTCCCCAGCTGCTCCACTCCAGAGGTAGGGCCTGTTGTTCAGGGTCAGAGACTGGAAAGTAGAGGGTTAATATCATGGGGCTTTCACTCACCACACCATCACTCCTGCAACAGAAATGGACTCCTCTGCACAAATCATCTGAGACCCATAACGCTGGGATTGGGTATGCAGAGCACTGAGATGCAGCCACATCTGGGGTGGGGCAGATGGGGAACAGCCGCATGAGGACAGCTTTCCCAGCGCTGGGATGCAGCCGCCTCAGGGGTGGGACAGCCGGGGAACAGCCGCACATAACGGCACACGAGGACAGCTCGCCTGGCACTGCGATGCAGCTCCCTCGGGTAGAGCAGGTAGGTCCCACAAATGCAACTGTTGTTTGTCAGCACCCGGAAGACACTTAGCGGCTGCCAAAAGAACAGCCGGGACACTCCGAACAGGTTACCCAAGGAACCGTGTCACTGGAAGGTTTTAAGACCGGGCTGGACACACCCTGTCAGGGCCGCTCGGGGGTCCCTCGGCTCTGACTTGGCCCCGGGGTGCTGGCCCTGAGGCCCTCTTGAGGTCCCCTCCAGCCCCGCATGTCTGGGAAACCTCCACACACGACATGGCCCAGAGGGCAGAGCCGCGCCGGGAGCTCGGTGGCCTGGCCCGCCAGGCCCGGCCCCTTTCGGCTGATCCCCGAGCCCTGACCTGCTGTCAAACCACCGGGCTGCAGGCTTGAGGCAGCGGCCGGACAGTTCCTCTCAGTCGCTCACCCATGGCACCAGCTTGTGCCCAGCCTGCTGCTGGGCTGGGTGTTTCTGCCAGGCTGGCCTGGAGGTACCAGGGCCAAATCCGCCCTTGCTCTATCCTCGTGCCAGAGGCCACTGGCTCCCCCCTTGCACGGGCCTCTCCCTCTTCCTCTCCCTCCCTGGCTGGGCACCAGGCCCAGCCACTTCCTGCCCAGGCAGACAGCCCGAGCTGCGGGGGCCCGCAGGAGCGGCCGGGGGTGCTAGGAGCCCAGGGCAAGTACAGCCGAGCATAGCAGGGGCGCTGGGCAGCGGGGGGCGCTCTCTGGGGTGCATCAGCCACAGAGCAGCTGGGGGGCTGCGAGCCTTGGGGCTCTGGGGCAGACGGAGGCTGGGAGGGTCACTATGTCTGATGCCCTCCCACCACAGGCCTGGGAGAGATCCGCTAGCAAGCGGACAGGCAGAGATGGGAGGGGAAAGGTTTCCTGTGAAAAACTGGCTCTGTGCACGCCCCCCAACCACTAGACCCTACTCCCCTCCCAGAGCCATAGAGAGAACCCAGGAGTCCTGGCTCCCAACCCTCCCTTCTCTAACCACTAGCCCCCACTTCCCTCCCAGAGCCATAGAGAGAACCCAGGAGTCCTGGCTCCCAACCCTCCCTTTTCTAACCACTAGACTCCCCCCCCCCGCTCCCAGAGCCAGGGAGAAAACCCAGGAGTTCTGAATCCCAATTGTTCTCATCCTAAATGTGAGACTCTTCATTCTTTCCCCGTCCTTCTCTCTCTTTTCCTCTCCCTCATTTAGTTGCTGTGACGGCTCCTGTCAGCACTGCACAGGCCGGGAATAGGCACCTGCTGCCCTCATGGAGGCGGGGCCCTCCGGAGTCGTCCTGCTGACGCAGATCATACCCCAGCCCCACTCGTCAGCCTCCTCTGCCCCACCACGGCCCCTGCGGAAGTTCTACCAGGGGGAGCCACTGGCTCTGGGCGTGAGTCCAGCATAGCCGGAGGCTGGCCTGCGAAGGGGACCCAGGGGGACACAATGAGCCTTTCTGACTCCTTCTGCTGGCTGGGCCATTAACAGGAGGCGGCTGCTGCCCTTGCTGGGTGTAGTTGCCTGATTAGCTTGGACGGAAGACACTCAGGCTTTTAGGTGCAGGGGGTCCTATCCTTGGCCACAGGCTGTCATGTGTGGCCTTGGTATAGTGCTGTGGCACTGAGAATCCCAAAGTGCCTTAGAAATGTGGTTGGGGATGATTATCTCTGTAATACAGAGAGGGAAACTGAGGCACAGAGCTAGGTGTGTGCCTGACTGGAGACTTGCAGCGAGTCAGGGTCAGGATGCACAAGACCTGACCCTCTGAGCACCCTCCTCCCCTACAAGAGCTAGAAAGAGAAGCCAGGAGTCCTAGCTCCTCTGCTGTAACCCACTAGACGCCCACTCCCCTCCCAGAGCTGGGGATAGAACCCAGGAGTCCTAATTCCCAGCTGTTTTCATTAGGAATGTTCCACTTGGGAGCATGATGCAATTCCATGATTTTAATCCATTACTTCCAAACTAAGGTGATGGGACATATAGACGAAAACAAAAGTAGATACATATCTAAGTTGATTAGATAGGTAGAGAGGAGCAAGTGGGACTTGCCAAGACTTACCTAGGTGCCTGCAGCTCATGGAAAGTCAATGGGAGTTAGGCACCTAGCTCTGGCACTTTTGTCAAGCCCAAGAGACACCCACCTGCATTCAGGTGCATAATTCCTTTGGAAATCTTGGCCTAAGTAGATGTAAGGACTAAGTAGCCATATAATTATCATCCCTAGCTCTTGGTAGCCCTTGTCATCAGTTGATCTCAAAGTACTTTACAAATGAGGTAGCGTGAGGAAACTGAGACACAGGGAGGATAAGGCCAGTGGCAGAGTTGGGAACAGAACACAAGTCTTCTGAGGATCCGTCTAGAGGCTTTATCCTCTCATGAATGACTAGCCAAAATACAGAGACCCTGTGTAGTAGAGACTGTGTCACCGTGTGGTAGGGATGGAGTAACCGTGTAGTAGGGACTGAGTAACCATGTAGTAAGTTCCCCAGAATGCAGCTCCTGGCCAGTAACATGCCTCATGGTGTCTCTGCAGATCACACAGATACTCACGGGCATTGTGCAGATAGCTTTTGGCATCATCCTGACCCTGACGAATGACCACCACCAAGTGGCGATAAAGGTGGGGACCCCCTTTTGGACTGGGATCCTGGTAAGTCCTAGTGGTGGGGGCTTCGGGGTGTGTGTGTGCAAACAAGGAGGACATTGTCTCAGGAATCCTCTCCGTAGGGCGGTTTAGCCAGCCAGCGCCGTGCCCTGAACCCGGCTTCCCAATGATCTTTGGAAGCCCAGCTGGTACTGCCAGGGGTGGCGGAGTGGCGACTGGGGCACTGGCCATGGGGCTAGAAGAGTTGGGGGTTGCTCCCTGAGCTGCCGCTGGCCTGCTGGGCGGGTTCGCATGTCCCCTCTGTGAGTCCTTGGGGTGGCCACTGGCTGTGTGTCTGTGCAGAGCCCCGACCTATCACAGGTGCTTCTTTGGCCCCGATCCCCGCAGCACCTGGACCCCTCCCCCATCTTCAGCTGAGTCTCTGTAGGGCATACAGAGCCTGTGGCATGGGGAGAAAGGGAAGAATGGGGGGATCCAGAACCCCCTGGCATGGAAGGGAGGGGAAGTGGGGGACACATAAAGCCCTTGGCATGGTGGGGAAGGAGCCTCTGAGATGTGTAATGGGCATGAGAAATGTGTGACTCCCCTCCACCCCCGGTGTATTGATCCTCACCCTGCCTGTGAGGGAGGGAATGCCAATATACATAATGCATGGGGTGGAAACTGAGGCACCAAGCGAGTGGGATGATCTCACCTGTTGGGTGAAGAGTGGGCAGCAGCTTTCACCCATCTCTGCTTTCCCTCCAGTACATCCTTTCGGGGTTCATTTGTGTGGAGGCTGCCAAGAACCCCAAGATCTCACTGGTAAGGAACGAGGTTTCTGTCCCTTGTTTTTTGAGCCAGTTGGAATATATTGGGGTTTCCCCCCCCGGGAAAGTTAATTGAAACATGAAAAATTGGCGGGGGGGGGGGGGAGAATTCACCAAAAATTCCAATGGAAACTTTTGACTTTTTTCTCAACACTGAAAATTCCCATCCCCAAACTGGCCAAACGGCTGAGAATTGAAACATTTTACCCCAAAACAGTCATGAAAGGAAGAATTTCCAGGGGGAAATTGCCCAAAATTGAAAAATTTCAGCCCAAAACAGCCACCAAACCCCCCCCCCCCCAGTTTTTTCAGACAAAAACGGCAGCCCACCCCACACAGCTGAAAATGGCCAATTGGCTGCCAAAAGTTGCCCCCAAAAGAGCAAATTTGTAGCTGGAAGCTGCTAAAAAGTGCAGGGAAAATGAAAAATGTCTACTCAAAATTGCCCCAAAGCTCAAAACGTTGCCACTGAAAACTGCCACGAATGGCTGAAAGCCGCCTGTTTCGGGCTGAAGATTGTAACAAGGATCAGAAGAAGAGCTCTGGAGAGCAGGCTAGCTTGCTTACGAGGAGAGGCTGAGGGAACTGGGATTGTTTAGTCTGCAGAAGAGAAGAATGAGGGGGGATTTGAGAGCAGCCTTCAACTACCTGAAGGGGGGCTCCAAAGAGGATGGCTCTAGACTGTTCTCAGTGGTAGCAGATGACAGAATGAGGAGTAATGGTCTCAAGTTGCAGTGAGGGAGGTTTAGGTTGCATATTAGGAAAAACTTTTTCACTAGGAGGGTGGTGAAGCACTGGAAGGGGTTCCCTAGGCAGGTGGTGGAATCTCCTTCCTTAGAGGTTTTTAAGGCCTGGCTTGACAAAGCCCTGGCTGGGATGATTTAGTTGGGGTTGGTCCTGCTTTGAGCAGGGGGTGGGACTAGATGACTCCTGAGGTCCCTTCCAGCCCTGAGATTCTATGATTCTATGATTTCCCCAGCGGAAGCTGGGCCCCCACCAGCCTTGTCTCGCTAGACATTAAAATCTCCACCGACATGCTGTACCGTGGAAGCTGGACACAGGCTGAGGGTGTCTGGAGGGGTGCAGGAGGATTCAAGGGCAGGAGGGTGGCTGGGGAAATGCAGGGGTGGGAGGTGTGGGGTGTGTGGACGACATAGCTGGGCGTCCTAGCCCCATGTCTCTGGTGCCTCCTCCCCAGGTGAAGGGCATGCTGGCTATGAATACCCTCAGCGCCATAGTGGCCGGAGTGGGGATCATCATCTGTTTGTTCTCGTTTGTCTTCTACTACCCGGGAGTAACCTGCTACTGGATCGAGGAGTCCAAGTCCTGCGCGCCGACCTCCCGAGTGCCCACGGTGAGTCCGGCTGCCCCCTCGGCCTGCCCAGCTCTGCCCCATGAAGCTGGGGGCACTGGTGCTATCTGTGACCCGGGAGGCTCAGCAGGGGGCGCTGTGCTGCGGGGAGCGGGGGCTCAGCAGGGGGCGCTGTGTGTATTCTCAGTCAGTCCCTCGTGGATCTTCCCTGGCCAGGATACCATGTTCGGGGTGGTCATGATTCTCCTGGTCTTCACCATCCTGGAGTTCTGTGTCTCCATCTCCAGTGCTGCCTTCGGGTGCAAAACACTCTGCCGGGACAGCTACAGCGACACGGTGACAGCCTTTGTGCAAGGGGATGGGGGTCTTGGGGTTGGGGGGGAGGGCTGGGAGCCAGGACGCCTGGGTTCTATCCCAGGCTCAGAGAAGGGAGTGGAGTTTAGAGTTTAAAGCCATGGGTGAGGACTCCTGGGTTCTATCCCTGGGTGTGTGAAACATTTGTCCAGCCCATCTTCTTTTTAAGTCAGTTGACAGATGTAGGAACCTCTCCCCGCCCGGCCCCCGTACTTCCCTAGGGGAGTTATTCCATGAACAATTTGTGTCTGTGCACTGCCCAATAGGGCTGCATGAGAATATGGGGGGCAGGAAGAAGGAGTAGGGGTTATAGGGGAATGTGGGGGGCAGGGGAGTGGCTGGCCCTAGGGCTGCCCCTCATGCTCTCCTCCTGTCTCTCCCTCCAGTCTGTGGTGATTTATCAGAACATGGGGCCTCCAGCTGCCCTCGCCAATGACCCCCCCAAAGCTCCGCCCCCTTACCAGGACACCCAGACCCCTTGAGCCATGCCCCACTTCACCTGCTGACCGACCCCAACCACTCCGAGTTGCTGCCGGCTCTGCAATGGCCCCCAGGGGGGGCAGCGCAGTATCTGGGCCAGCATTGTGGATGGTGACGACTGGGACTCACTCCTGATGGTGCCATCTACACTAACAGTGTGACAGCTTCCTTCTGCGGGATTTAAAGGGACGGTGCGAGGCTACAGTGTGGCAAATTACAGTTTCTTTCTTTCTTTCTTTCTTTCTTCTCCCCTGCCGACAGGATCTGATTCCTCTCTGCTGCGCATTCACCCCTGATCTCCCTACACCCAATAAACGTGTTTCATACGAACGACCAGCCCCAGTTTCTGCCTCTGTTATTCATCAGGATCCCCTGACTTGGCGAAGGGACAGGGGCAGCCCAGGAATGGTCCTGGTATTGTAGGGGCTGCCAAAATGCTGGACCTGAGAACAGGTGAACTTGCTGAGATAAAGGCAGTGAGCTGAGAACAGGTGAACTCAGTGCATGGCACAGACCTTCAGTGCTGAGATAAAGGCAGCGTGCAGTGTGCATGTGGCAACTTGGATTGCCTTGAGAGCTGGTGTTCCTCTTGGGGCTACAGGGTAGGTTTAGAGCTCTAAATCGGGGGCAATTTGAGCGAGGCGTTCCCACGAGGCACCCCTCCCCCAAGAAAACAGTTTCTCTTAAGGTTAACAGATTCTCCGCATTCTCTTTGCACACAGAGGGATCAAGCCAGGGGTCGGCTCCTGCCCCGAGCGGGCTCAGTCGCTCGCCATTTACCCCGGCTAGCACGTGGCACCAACTTGCCCCTCGAGGGAGTAACGCTGAGCATGGGGTTCAACTGAGAGCATGGCGCTGGGGACGGGGGCATGGCTACTGGGCACATGCCAAAGGAATGATGCGGAGCCAGCACGCCCAGGCAGCCAGCCAGCCAGGCCGAGCTCCCCAATCTGGTGGAGGTTAAAGGAGCACGTTATTGGCAAATCGGGAAGGGCTCAAAGTCCGGCAGAGAAGGGAGTGAACATTAGGGGGTGGAAGGGTGAGGGGACAGTGGAGATTTGAGTGGAGGTGGTTATGGAGAGGGGCCTGGGTGGTAGGGGACAGGAGTTAGAGGGATCAGAGGATGGGGTGGGGATTATGGTGACACTCCTCTGCAAAGGGGGGCAGTTCTAGTGGTTAGAGCAAGGGAGCTAGGACTCTTGGGTTCTCCTCTAGCTCTAGGAGTGGAGTGGGGCGGAACGGTTAGAGCAGGAGGCAAGGAGATAGAAGTTAATTGCAGGGAAAATCTTCCCCTCCCCCCCAAATCCAGCTGCCCCTGGAGGGGACTGTTCAGAACAATCTGTTCTCTTCCTGGGGCGGGAAGTGTCTGGGCCTGGAGCCCAGCCTGGGGAGGAAGAGGAACTAACGGGAGTGGGGAATGGGGGGAGCCAAGGAACTAGCCCTGGGGTGGGGCAGGCCCTGAAGGGTTAATATTGAGCAATGGTTTAGCAGTGACTCCCTCTGCCAGTAACTGTGACCTTGGAGCCGTGCTGAGCCCCCTGCAGCACGGTGCCCCCCCCGCCCCACAGCACAATACTCCCCCGCCCCACTCCCGGCACAGTGCCCCCTGCTGAGCCCTCCCCCACTCCCTGCAGCATGGTGCCCCTCCTCCATTGTCAGAGTTACTGGCAGAGGGAGTCATTGCTAAATCATTACTCAATATTAACCCTTCAGGGGCCAGATCCTGAGTCTCCACACCCTAGGGCCAGTTCCTTGGTTCCCCACATCCCCCACCCTTCTTAGTTCCTTTTCCTCCCCTGGCCAGGCTGCAGGCCCAGATGCTTCCTGCCGCAGGCTGAGAACAGCTTGTGCTGTGCAGGCCCCTCCAGAGCAGCGCGGGAGCCGGGCATCGGGCGACGCAGCCTCATTCACCTCTGAGGACAGGACAAGACGCACTGGGCTTAAATTGCAGCAAGGGCAGTTTAGGTTGGGCATCAGGAAAAACGTCCTAACTGTCCGGGTGGTTAAGCCCTGGAACAAATTGCCTAGGGAGGCTGTGGAATCATTGGAGGTTTTAAAGAACAAATTAGACAAACACCCGTCAGGCCTGGTCTGGCTGTTACAGTCCTGTCTTGAGTGCAGGGGACTGGACCAGAGGGCGCATGGAGGTCCCCTCCAGTCCTACACTTTGATGGTCACTGAACAAACCAACAACCTTCAAGAGAGTCTAATCAGTTCCTCCCTCAACCACTGCAGAGAGAGAGGATCAGATAGTATCTGAGAGCTGGGCTACACGACAGTTAGGTCGATATATGGCAGCTTACGTCACTTTAACTCTGTTCATGTCTACACTGCAACAGGGCTTCCGCCGATGTGAGTTGCCCGCTACACCGACCCAACCCAACGCCACCTCTGCGAGAGGTGTAGCGCTTAGGTGGGTGTACTTAGGGTGACGCAGTGGCTATGTAGACACTGTTACTTACATCGCCTGTTGGCTGTCAGCCCTGCATGGGGCTCACAGCCGGAGCCCTGCCACCAGGACTGACAGCTGGAGCCTGGCCAGGCTGAGAGCTGGAGCCCCGCTGCTGGGCTGACAGCTGGGACCCCTGTTGCTGCCCCTGGTGAGGGATAGGGTCTAGGAGAGCTGGGGGTTGCCCCAGACCTGCCGCTGGTCTCTGTGAGTCCTCAGGGTGGCCACTGGCTGTGTGTCTGTGCAGGGCCCCAACCTAACACAGGGGCTTCTCTGGCCCCCATCCCCGCAGCACCTGGGTCCCTTCCCATCGTCAGAAGACTGGTGAAGTGAGGCCCGACACGCCGCTCAGTAGTATGTCTTTGTCCGTCTGTGTGGATGTTACAGGATAGTGTTTGAACGCTGCATCTGATCAGTGCCGAACTGTCAGGGAAGGGACCAGGCACCGATGGACAGAACCCTGTTGATTTGCCGGGGGGGGGGGGGGGGGGGCACTAGAAAAACAGAAGGGAAAAATGGTGAGTGACTGTCACGGAGTCCCCGGGCGATGCTCTGGAACTGCTCCCCGCGAAGCCAGTCAGGACTCTGGGGAAGTCTCCTCTCTGTGAGCAGACTGTCTGCAGGACACACAGCTCACACAACTTCCACCTTCCTGGGTCTGACCTCGGAGCATTCAGCATCCTCTGCCCCTCCGTGCGCTTCCGACAGCGAGTCCGCCCAGGCAGGGTCCTGGGGAAGCCAGAGGGTCCTGCACCCCAACTTCGCAGTCAGACGTGACTCTCAGCCACCCAGTAAAACAGAAATTTACTAGACGACAGGAACATGGTCTAAAACAGAGCTTGTAGGTGCAGAGAACAGGACCCCTCAGCTGGGTCCATTGTGGGGGGAGGCAGGGTCCATTGGAGGGGGGGCAGTGAGCCAGACAACCACGTCTGCACTTCACTCCATGTCCCCAGCCAGCCCCAAACTGAAACTCTCTCCAGCCCTTAGCTCTCACCTTGCAGGGGGGAAGGGCCCATGCCATCAGGTGCCAGGAAACAGGGTGTTGGCCGTTCTCTGTGTCCAGAGCCCTGCACACACCCGCCCTCTAGGGCTCTGCAACGATCATACACCCTTATCCCACCCCCTAGATACTTAAGAACTGCATAGGGGAAACTGAGGCACCCCCACAATAGTCAGAGGAAACATTAAGAACAGTCCCGCTTCACCACAGGGACATATAGAGCCACTGGCATGGGGAAAGAATGGGGGGATCTGGTATATGGGGGAGGGGCACACAGAGGCCCTGCCATGGGGCAGATTCCCTTGCTAACCTGTTCCAGTACTCAGCTCCCCTTAGAGTTAGCAAATTGGTCCTAATATCCACCCTCAGTCTCACCTGCTGTGGATTAACCGCCGCTTCTCCTCCTACCTTCGCTGGGCAAGGAGAACAGCTGACCCCCAGCCTCGTTAGAACAGCCCTGGGCCTATTTAAGGACTGTCATCAGGGCCCTGCTTTGTCACCTTTTTGCTTTGCAGCCAGCGTGTCCCCACGGGAAGTTTGGGGGCTGAGAAATCTGCATTTTCCAACAGCAAAACATCCCTCTGGAAAACCTCCCGTCAGCTCTGCCTAGAAGCACAACCGCAGCTTGGTGTCTCCAGCCCTCCCCTGCTTACCCTTACTTTGGGCAGGGGGAGGAAATGGTTAGTCTCCAGAGGTCTTGCTGGTGAGCAGCGTATTGCCTGCAGCCTGCTGACAGGAGCCATTTGTGCACCAGGCAAAGGGGCGCAGGGGAACTGGGACACTGTCCAGCCCCTGGCCTGCCTTACGCGTACTTTGGCGCCAATCAGGGTGGCGATCGGTTCTGGAGCTTCCCAAAAAGGGCCCCTTGTTTACGGCATGGGGTCTAAGCTCAGCTCTTTCCTGCCAGAGTGAGAGCCAGCTGCAGAGCCGGATGGAGGGTAAGCCGGAGGCAGGATGGGATTGGGGAAGGGGATTTGCCATGGCTGGGTCTCTCTGGGGAGCGTGGCGGGTTGCTGGGATGGGGGCTGTCAGTTAGTGGCAGGGTCAGATGGAGCTGGGAGTTCAGGGGCAGGAGGGACTTGCGTACAGCACACACTCTGATACACACACACACACACACACACACTCAAATACCCCATAAACAGGCACACACGTGGCCCCTTCTGACCTCAGAAGCTAGTCAAAGTAGGGGGTTCGGGGGATGTCCCAGCTGGAGGCAGAAATCGAGGCTAGCCAGGGATCAGCTTTGACACAGTTTTGTTTATTAGCAAGCAGAGTACAAAGCCCCATGTCTCTGCACCCAAATCACCCTGGTGTGGACGCGTTAGGATTCTCCTGTCGACCTAGCTACCACATCTCATAGGGATGGATTCAGTACAGCGCGGGAAACCCCACCACCGACAAGGGTCTGCACGAGAGTGCTGTAGCCATGCGGCTGTAGTGTAGACACACTGCTTGTGTATGAGCTCAGTGTCTGGGTGTTCTCACACACAGCCCTGCCCAAAACAATACCCAGCCTCAAAACTCTGTCTGTCTGCGCGTGTGTGTGTGTGTGTGTGTCACGCGCACCTTTTGTCTTTACTGGGGATTATGTTTACAGCTATGATAATGGGAGGGTGAGTTCACACCTGTCAACCTGACTAGGGTTTTAACCCAAATTATAGAGAGGTTTCACCCAGCTCATAACACACACACACACACACAAGAGACTCACAACAACAATGGACACAAACACACAGTCACACTCCTGCCACACTCACATATACACACATGTTCACACACACACACTCAGACACACACAAGAGAAACATTCACACACAATCTCTCTCACACCCACCCACTGAAGCACACTTACAGACACATCAAGCTGGCAACCATAGAGATGCAACAGGGACACATGGACAGTCCCACACAGTAAGACACACAGAGGGTCACATGCACACACAGACAAACTGACAGTCCCATGCACAGACAATCAGACACACAGAGAGCACATGCACACACAGAAACACGGACAGTCCCCCCGCCCACAGACAGTCAGACACACAGAGAGTCCCATGCACACACGGACAGTCCCTCCCACACAGACAGTCAGACACACAGAGTCACATGCACACACAGACAGTCGTCCCCCCCACAGAGTCACATGCACACAAGTTTCAGAGTAGCAGCCGTGTTAGTCTGTATTTGGAAAAAGAAAAGGAGGATAGTGTTTGACAATAGTCAGAGGAAACTATTGTGGCATCTTAGAGACTAACCAATTTATTTGAGCATGAGCTTTCGTGAGCTACAGCTCACTTCATCGGATGCATAAAAGTGGAAAATGCAGTGAGGATGTTTTTATACACACAGATCATGAAAAAATGGGTGTTTATCACTTCAAAAGGTTCTCTCTCCCCCCAGCCCACTCTCCTGCTGGTAATAGCTTATCTAAAGTGATCACTCTCCTTACAATGTAAGGATAAGCTATTACCAGCAGGAGAGTGGGGTGGGGGGAGAGAAAACCTGGATTTGTGCTGGAAATGGCCCACCTTGATTATCATACACATTGTAAGGAGAGTGCTCACTTTAGATAAGCTATTACCAGCAGGAGAGTGGGGTGGGGGGAGAGAAAACCTTTTGAAGTGATAAACACCCATTTTTTCATGATCTGTGTGTATAAAAACATCCTCACTGCATTTTCCACTTTTATGCATCCGATGAAGTGAGCTGTAGCTCACGAAAGCTTATGCTCAAATAAATTGATGCACACAAGGACAGTCCCACCAGACAGTCAGACACATAGAGAGTCACATGCACATACAAACAGTCACACACACACACGCTCTTAGTCCATTGTGGAAGCTCAATGGCTCAGAATCTGGGCTCCTTACTGGGGCTGGGGCTCTGGATATAACAACAGTGTTTTGGGGGACACCCTCCCCCCAACCTGTATCAGCCCTGGCCTGTGCATCTCTCCTGACTCCCAGGTCCTCTTCCCTTTCCAGACCACCTCCCCTTCCTGTCATAGCCATCTCTGCTGGGGCCCCCTACTGAGCCCCCTGCAGCATGGCCTACTGGGGGGGGGGGGTCTACCTACTGCCCACTCCAGCTCCAGGTGGGGCTGCTAGTCAGGTTGCTCTGTTTTAGCTCATTTCTGCTCAGTTCATGGGATCCCTCAGCCGGGGCTCTGCTCTTTACCAGGCAAGAAAAATGGCACAAAACTCCATGCTCAGCCAGAACCAACCTCAGCCCTGCCTCTCACACCCTCTCTGTACCCAAACCGGCGGGTTCTTCACTACCATGGAGGTTTCCAGTGGAACCCAACCTGGGCCATGGGGGAAGTTGGGAGACACACCGGAGTTCACAGCATCCCCTGCTGCTCACTGAAGCGATGCCGATGTGGAGGGCTAGAGCTAGGGTGATGATAACATGACCTGGGTGGAGGTGGAGTGTTATGAATGGATCATCACCCCATTCCCTCCTGGCAGAAAAAGAAGACCTTGAATTTTTCCCACACTTTGATTAGACTGAGACTCTTCCCAGACTGCGCCTCACTGAATTCTCGTTCACTGAGAAGCTGGTTTGTACAGCTCTGAAATTCTGCTGTGATGTTGGTGTGAGCGGTGGGAAACTGGTGTGAGTGGTGGGATACTGGTAATCAAGGTGAGATATTGGTGTGAGAGGTGGGAAAGTGGTGTGAGAGGTGGGAAACTGGCATCAGGCATGGGATATTGGTGTTAGCTGTGGGATATTGGTATTCGATGTGAGATATTGCTGTGAGAGGTGGGATACTGGGGTTAGCTGTGGGATACTGGGGTGAGAGCTGTGAAACAGATCTGACATGTGGGACACTGGCGTCAGTGGTGTGAAAGGTGGGATACTGGTGTTAATGCTGGTGTCAGTGGTGGGATACTGGTATGAATGGTGAGAAACTGGTGTTAGCAGTGGGATCTTGGTGTTAGTAGTGGGATACTGGGTGAGAGGTGGGAAATTGGTTTTAGAAATGGGATATCGGTGTCAGCCAAAGGAACAACTATCCCATTGCTCCACTGCCACATGGTGGGAAGGGCCACGTTCCATGGGGCACAGACTGTGGGAGCCACGTTTGGTTCAGTAGCGCCCCCTGCTGCGGGTGAAACTGATGGCAATATTAAAGGGGTGAATGAGGGTGATATTAACATGGGGGTGATTGGGCACCACAAGGAAAACCCTGATCTGTATCTCCCCCAGATAGGGCAAGGGGTGACCCAGATGAGCTGGGTGCGGGGGTTGTTTGTTATCCTGGGAGGGGGGTGTCTTTTACCTCCCCAATGTCCTGCCAGCACAAAGAAAGCCCAGCTCTTATCTCAGCAGGGTTCTGCTATGGCCACCACCATGACAGCCAGCTCAGCCAGCCCCATCACCATCATCAACAGCTTCATCACCCAGCCCCACATGGCCAGTGCTGCCATCTCAGCCAAACCGCAGCCCCTGGAGAAGTTCTACAAGGGGGAGCCACTGGCCCTGGGGGTGAGTATCCTGTGCACTGGGGCGGCTTCCCCACCCACCTGGGACAATCAGCCAATGAGAGCTTGTTCTGATGATGTCGTGGTTTGAAGGTGGTGTCCCATTGGCCAAAGGATGCTAGGGGGTGGAATTCCAGAAGACGACTCCCTCCAGCTCTTAGGATAAACTGGGTAGGTGTTTACGTGACCCAGCCCCGTCCTCTTGCTGCCCCCATGTTTGCCCGAACGTGGGCCTCGTGCCAGGGAGGAGCCTGCCTGGTTACCCCAGACACACCAGCATCGTTCTTGCAGAGAATGCAGCCGGCTGGGGCCAGCATAATCCCCTGACAGTGGGCACCTATTCCTCCTGTACCTGCCAGACCATGGGGCGCTGGTACGGCAGGCAGTGCTGGCGTGTCCCCCTGACCGTTGCTTTTCAAGCCCAGGACCCCCCAGGCCAACCTGCATCCAGCCTGTCTGTATTTCAGCATGGCTGACTTCCCTGGTGGGAGCCATGGGGTGGTTCACAGGGACTGTGGCTTCTGTTGGGATTATAATTCCCAAATTTTTGTGGTGATAAACCATAGAAACATTAGATTTGTCTCCCTGATGGCCTGGATCAGACCCTTGGGACCATCTAGCCTGGAAACCTGTCCCCTCCCTGATGACCCAGACCAGACGCATGGGCCCTTAGGCCTGGTATCACATCCCCTCCCTGCCACCCTGGATCAGACCCATGGCCCCAGCCAGCCCAGTACCCTTCCCAACTCTCCCTGCTGTGTCAGATCTGATCAATGGGCCTACTTACTCCTTCCCTACCATAAACTCCTAGTGTGCCCCTTGGGCAACTCCCTTAATCTTCCTCTGTGCCTCAGTTTCTCTACCTCTACAATAGCGATAACAACACATTTGTGTCTCCCAGGGTGTGGGGGTGGGGAGGATCAGTGCATTAGACTAAGACTATCAGAGGCTATGGTGATGGCAGGGCCGTCCCTAGAGGGGTGCGGGCCCAGGATATACGTGCCAAGTTTCTTATCAGACCCCGCCCAGGCCCCACCCCCACTCCACCCCTTCCCCTAAGGCCCCACCCCGCCTCTGCTCCTACCCTGCCCAGTTCTTCCCCCTCCTACAAGCATGCTGTGCCCTTGCTCCTCTCCCCTCCCTCCCAGCGCCTCCTGATGCTGCAAAAAACTTCTGATCCATGGCAGGCAGTAGGCGCTGACTGGCAGGGCCCACTGGCGGGCAGGAGGTGGTAGGGGAAGGGAGAGGTTCTGGTGGTGGGGGTCCTCCTCACCCCCCCCCCCGCCCACTTGCCGCTCACCTCCCTATTTGCCTCCTCACCCCACTCGCTCACCTGCCCACCCCCGCCTCACCTCTCCGCCCACGCGGGGGCCCCCAAAGTGTGGGGGCTGGAGCAGTGGCTCCGATTCGCCGTACCCAAGGGATGGCTCTGGATGATAGGCACCAGATAAATACCCAAGACAGAGGGACCTGTTAGGAGCACCAAGGGGAAAGCGACCCCCAATGAGCTCGGAGTGCAGTGATGAAATTCTTGGCTTCACTTCCTGGTAGATCACCCAGATCCTAGTTGGAGCCGTGCAGGTTGCTGTCGGGATGGTGATGGCTATGGTCAACTCCTATTTGTGGATATTAGCATTGACTGTGCACGTCCCGCTATGGAGTGGGTTGCTGGTAAGTCTCCACCCCACCCCACCTTCTGCCATCGGGTCACATGTAGGAGAAGGATTGGAGCATACTCAGTGCAGACAGATCCTTTGGAGAATCTAGCTGCCAAATTCTAACACATCTCTATGGAGCATGTGCAAACAGAAATTTTTCAGATGCTTATAATTTGGCCAAATTTGAGTGGACTTTTTATGGAACAGGAAAAGGCACATCCCTGTCCCCAGGGTGACCTCCTCCCCCGCCACATTTCCAGGCCCTGCTCCAAAGCATGCAGGCCCTACAGTTTCTCAATGAAACAGTTGTAAGAATTATTCTTACCAGGGTCAAAACAACGTATTTTCCCCTAGCCTCATCCTCAGCAATGGCTGAATGATTTGGACTGAAATTTATCCCCAAAATCAAGCCTGCAGCAGACCGCGAATGGGAAATTTCAGCCCTAATAGTTAATGCTTGGCAAAGTTATCAGCACCTGAAAGTAGGATCTTATAAGGATGTGTCGGGCAACATTACCTCTAGGTGGTGCTAGCAGAAGACCCTACAATAGGATACGTGGGGCTCTAATCCCACCAGGCAGCTCGCCAGGGCTCAGGAGAGAAATATAGAGACGCTCAGGGTCAGGCTGTGGGTGGATCAGCACAGACGTTGGCTCCCATGTGACCACCAGTCTTCATCCTGTCTCCTGCTGGACTACCTCTCCCAAGCACACCCTAGTCTAGTATTTCCCAGCATCCACAGCACCTATCCACCCCTGCTGTGCTCCGCTAACCCTAGACACAGGCACAGCACTGCTTCTAACCCTTTCTCTCTCCCCCACACAGTACATCATCTCGGGGTCCATCTCAGTGGCGGCTGCAAAGAATCCCAAGATACCACTGGTACGAATTGATGCCTCAGTTTCCTATCTATCTATCGTGAGAAAGTTCCTCCTTTGCGTTGGTGGGTTCTGCTCTTTCTGGCAGGTTTGCTCACCTCAGAGGTTCACAGCAGTCCGCACTTTGGCTCCTTTTGTTAGTGGCACAAACCTGTTGTTCACTCAACTAACCGCATCACTGGCCAGCATGGGGAAAAGGAGGAGAACAATCCCCGCAGTCTCTGCTGGCCCACCTAATGGGTTGAGGGATAGGCCAGAGACCTTCCCCTCTGGTGGGACCCACAGTCCAGATCAACACCTCTTATATCAAACAGGGAGTTGGGGGGATAGGAGGAACCTGGGCCTGCCCTCTACTCCAGGTTCCAGCCCAGGGCCCTGTGGATTGCAGCATCTATAGTGTCTCCTGTAAGAGCTGCATGACAGCTACAACTCCCTAAGCTACTTCCCCATGGCCTCCTCCCAACACCTTCTTTGTCCTCACCACAGGATCTTCCTCCTGATGTCTGATAACGCTTGTACTCCTCAGTCCTCCAGCAGTATGCCTTCTCACTCTCACCTTTTTGCATGCCTCTTGCTCCCAGCTCCTCGCACACACGCCACAAACTGAAGTGAGGTCCTTTTAAAAACCAGGTGTCCTGATTAGCCTGCCTATCCTAATTGATTCTGGTAGCTTCTTAATTGGCTGCCTTAATTGGTTCCAGCAACTTCCTGATTGTTCTGGAACAGCCCATTATCTTACTCAGGGAAAAAGGGATCTGCTTAATCCAGGGCTAATACATCTACCTTCTATCACTCTCCTGTAGCCATCTGGTCTGACCCCGTCACACTAGCTATCTACAAGAGCAGAAGCTTGAAGGGACTAAATCAGACAGATTAAGGAACAAAATGAGTTACACCTGTCAAGGAACATAAAAAGCAACAAGAAGAGGTTCTATAAATACATTAAGAGCAAGAGAAAGATGGCAGCAAGTGTAGATCCACTACTTAGTGGGGAAGAAGAGCTAATAACTCATGACATCAAGAAGGCTGAGGTGTTTAATATAGGGCTGTCAATTGCAGTTAATGCATGCAATTAACGCAAAACAAACAAACATGATTAAAAAATAGTTGCAATTAATTACAGTTTCAATAGCACCGTTAAACAATAATAGAATATCAATTTAAATTTATTATAAATATTTTTGGATGTTTTTCTACATCTTCAAATATACTGATTTCAATTACAACACAGAATACAAAGTGTGCAGTGCTCACCTTATATTCTTATTTTTGATTACAGATATTGCACTGTAAAAAAGATAAACAAAAGAAATAGTATTTTTCAGTTCACTTCCTACAAGTACTGTACTGCGATCTCTTTATCCTGAAAGTGCAACTTACAAATGTTGAATTTTTTTTTTTTACATAACTGCACTCCAGAACAAAACAGTGTAAAACTTTACAGCCTATAAATCCCCTCAGTACTTCTTCTTGTCAGCCAATCGCTCAGACAAAGAAGTTTGTTTACATTTACGGGAGATAATGCTGCCCGCTTCTTATTTACAATGTCACCTGAAAGTGAGAACAGGCATTCGCATGGCACTGTTGTAGGCAGTGTTGCAAGGTATTTATGTGCCAGATGGGCTAAACATTCGTATGCCCCTTCGTGCGTCGACTTTTAGGCTCTAAAGTTTTACATTGTTTTGGTTCTGAGTGCGGTTATGTAAAAGAAAAAAATAAATTCTACAATTATAAATTGCACTTTCCCGATAAAGAGAGTGCACTACAGTACTTGCAGGAGGTGAACTGAAAAATGCCATGTTTATTTTTTTTTACAGTGCGATATCTGTACTCAAAAATAAGAATATAAGGTGACCACGGTACACTTTGTGTTCTGTGTTGTAATTGAAATCAATATATTTGAAGATGTAGAAAAAAAATCCCAAAATGTTTATCATAAATTTAAATCGGTATTCTGTAATTGTCTAACAGTGCAATTAAAACTGCGATTAATCACGACTATTATTTTAATCTCGCGATTATTATTGTAAATCGATTGGCATTCCTAGTTTAATATCTACTTTTCTTCAATTTTCCCTAAAAAAGGTTAATGGTGACCAGATGCTCAACACAATTAATATTGACAACCAGGGAGAAGGAACACAAGCCAAAATAGGGAAAGAACAGGTTAAAAAAATATTCAGATAAGTTGGATGTATTCAAGTCATTAGAGCCTGATTAAATTCATCCCAGGGTACTTAAGGAACCAGCTGAATCTAAGGCTTTTGACACAGTCCCTCAAGACAAGCTCATGAGCAAATGAGGGAAATGAAGTCTTGATGAAATTCCTATAAGGTGGGTGCACAGCTGGTCAAAAGAGTAGTTACAAATGGTTTGCTGGGAAGCTGAGAGAGCGTATCAGGTGGGATCCCACAGTAGTTCTTCCTGGGGCCAGTACTATTCAATATGTTCTTTAATGACGTGGACGATGGAGTGGAAAGTACACTTATGAAACGTGCAGATGACACCAAGCTGGGAGGGGTTGCAAGCATTTGGGGTGACAGGATTAGAATTAAAAAAGGCCTTGACAAATTGGAGAGTTGGTCTGAATTCAAAAAGTGAAAGGAAAAATCAAATGCACAGGTACAAAATGGGGAATAACTGGCTAGGGGGTTGCTGAAAAGAAGCTGGGGTTATAGTGGATCACAAACTGAATATGCGTCAAGGCTGTGATGCAGCTGAGAAAAAGGCTAATATCATCCTGGGGTATTAACAGGACTGTTGTATGTAAGGGATGGGAGGTAACTGTCCAAGCTACTTGGCACTGGGGAGGCTTCAGCTGGCATATTTTGTCCAATTCTGGGCACCACACTTTAGGAAAGATGTGGACAAATTGGAGAGAGGCCTGAGGAAAGCAACAAAAATGACAAAAGGTTTAGAAAAGCAGACTTCTGAGGAAAGGTGAAAAAAGCGGGCATGTATAGTGGTGAAAGGAAGTTGGAGGAGGGGCCTGATAACAGCCAAGGGGAGGTCAGGTCTAGAACAGGCTTCTCAGGGAGGTTGTGGAATCCCCGTCATTGGAGGTGTACAAGAACAGGTTGGACAAGCATTTGTTGTCAGGGATGGTCTAGGGTTATTTGGTCCTGCCTGAGTGCAGAGAGCTGGACTCGATGACCTCTTGAGGTGCCTCCCACATCTTATCTATCTATCTATCTCTTATACCCACAATCACTCATTCTTTCCAAAGCGGTTGGAATGATTTGAACCGTACCTCAACCCAGCGTCGCAATTTAGCCCCTAAATGTTCCTGCTATAGCAATGGGAGTGAACATTATGATCACAAGAATGGGATGTCAAAGTGAGGGCTCTCCCCGCTGCTGTTGGGGGGGGTCTTCCCCGAGAGGGGCTTGGCTTCATGCCATGTTGTCTGCGTGTGTCCAGCTGGGCTCTCAGCGCACTCCTCTCCCCACCCCCATCTCCTGGCCAGGTGAAAGGCAGCCTGGGAATGAACATCATCAGCTCGGTGCTGGCCGGATGTGCCATGATCCTGTACCTGATCAGTTTGATGGAATCCAGGTATCAGTCCAGGTGTGACTGGTACCCAGAGAATTGCTTCCCTTATGTGAGTACCTGGTATCACTGCACGAGGGCAGGGCTGTCAGTGCAACCATCCCCTTGCTCCCATGGGGACCAACCTGCCTCCCATGGCCACCCTTAGGGACTGCCTTAACCAGCTGGCAGGGAATGGGGCACGGGGCCTTTCCCCTCCAAGGGGCACTGGTTCTGATCCAGCCCAGGGTGGGGACTGGCTGGCTTGCGGGGTAAGGTTGAGGGAATGGGACATGGGGCCTTTGTCCTGTAGGGAATTCAACAGTTTCCCGTTGGCAGAAGGTAACCATGGCCTGCATCATGGTTCTGTTCCTGTTCACCTTCCTGGAATTCTGCGTCTCCATCTCCACTGCGGCCTTTGGGTGCAAAACCGTCTGCCGGGACAGCTACAGCCAAGTGGTAATGATGCGTCACCATGGGGCCTGTATTAATGACAGGGACGGTGGAGGGGAGGGGGGTCTAGTGGGTTAAAGTGTGGGGGGGGGCCGGGGGAGCTGGGACTCCAGGGTTCTATACTGGGAGCACATCACTGGGGCGTTGCTGGGCTGAGAGGTGCGCTTGAGTCCTGTCCTGATAGGTTGTCCTTACCTTTTCCTCCAGTCTGTGGTCATTTACCAGAACATGGTGCCTCCAGGTGACCCAACTACTGCCACCAACACCCACACGGATGCTGTTGCCTGCACTCCTCCCCCTTACAAGGGCCTCGCCACCGCATGAGCTGTTAACTAGGGCAGCCACTGCCTGGGTCACCAGCTCCCTACATACCATGCCCACCTGTGCCTTGCTGGAGACCAAAGCAGCAGAGTGGGAACCGGTCGTAGCATCTCGCTCCCGACACTGAGCCTGCTGACCCCCATGCACTGATCACACTGACCATGGAGAGAGACATGTCCCTACAGCATCACACAATCGATCTGCCGGTCTCAATGCCCTTTCCATCCTACCCCTGTGCAAGGGATCTCAGCCCCAGGTCCCACCACTCTATAACATGTCCAGGCTGCCTGCAATAAAACCTTTGTCTCTAATCATCCAGCCCTCATTTCGCTCTTCTGTTCAGTGGGATCCCCTGATCCTAAGCCCCAGCCCCAGGTTGTTGGGGGGTTTATCTGGACTGTCCCTACTGCCCCCCACTAACAGGGCCAGTGTGTGCTGGGACCCACGATGAGGTGCCTGGAGCCTGAGGAGGTGGGGACAGGGAGGACAGCAGGAGTGACTGTGAGAGCAGCTTTGGTGGGGGTTGTTGGAGAGAGACAGGACATGCAACAGAAAGAGAGAGAAATTACCATAGCTGGGATAGAACTCTGGCTCCCAGCCCCTGCCGCTCTAACCTACCAGACACCCCTCCCCTCCCAGAGCTAGGATAGAACCCAGGAGTCCTGGCTCCTAGCTTCCCACACTGAGCACTAGACCCCACTCCCCTCCCAGAGCTTACGGTAGAATCAAGGAGTCCTGGCTCCCAGCCCCCCTGCTCTAATCTGCTGTGATTCTTCCCCACTCCCTTCCCAGATCCCCCCACCCTTCAGTGATCTGGGACCTCCCCCCAAGAGAACTCAGCAGGGTGATTCCCAGAGAACCCCAGTCCCCAAGCCCACCCTCCCTCCAGCTTGCTTGGCCTCCGTTGGGCTCTGGGGCTGGAGACATCTGAGCTGGTAGCCCAGCCAAGAGCCACGAGACCCATTCTCTGAAGCCTCAGAACTTTTCACCCCAATGTCCATCACTGATGTTTGACCATATCCCCAGGCCTGGCACCTCTGGGCCTGCGTCTGTGCTCCAAAATTTGGGTGCCTGCCCTGCCTTCATTTAGCACTAAGCTTTTAGGTTTGGTCTCATTCTCCACAAGGGACTCAGTTCTTTGGAATGGGGCGGGGCCTCAGGTCGAGAGGGGCTGGAGTAACCCCAGGGAAAACTAAAAGTCACCTTCTATGGATCTGAGCTGAGGTGGATACACACCAGTACGTGATGGACTGAGCCAGTCCATGGAGGGACCTCATGCCCAGTGTCCCAAAGTTGTGTATAAAAAACCACAAGGCAGACTTACCCTGTCTTGAACAACCCTGTCCTGGGATGGAGAACGGGATGGGGGGTACAATTGCTGGTACGGATATCAAGCCGTAGTTAATAGTAAGAGCTGTGAGGCGCTCATTCGTCACTGGAAATTCTCCTGGTTTCCAGCCTACTGCGTCTTCCCCAAAGCTAGAGAGGGTTTTCTGTGAGCGGGCCTAACTGTTTTGCACTCAGGGGTCTGGGATCTGTGCAGAAAAAACGTCAGAGAGCTGGTTAGGTATTGGGCGTGGGTGCTGGTTCTCTGCACTAAACCCACCTCCTGACAGGGGCTCTCCAGTGCAAAAAGGCTGAAGTGGACCATGCCTATGGATTTTTCTCTAGTTCTGTGCAAAGAAGTGTGACCAGAAAGCGGATTATTTTTAAAAAATTGTCATTTTGGGAGGGCTGTATATCAAAAAACAGGCTCCGAATTTGCATCACAAACCAAGCTTGCCATGGCCTTTGAACCAGCATGTCAAATTTCAAGATAATCTGACTGAGCATCTGGTCTTCAGAGAGGATTGAAAACCTCTCTCTGTGCAAAAAAGGTAGGATAAGCATGTTGAAATTTTAAAAATGGGACTTTGAGGGGAGGACTGTATCTCTGGAACCCTGTGGCCAAACGACTCTAATTTTGCACCATAAATTTTACCCTGGTCCCTTAACGGATATAATGATTTTCAAACGAATCTGACTGCACATATGCTCTTTAGAGAGGTTTGAACTGTCAAAAAAGCACAAGAAAGTTGACATTTTAAAAATGGGTCATTTGGGGGGGTTGTATCTCAGGAACCCCTTTATCAAATGACCCTAGATCTGTAACAAAAACTTCCCGCCAGTTTGGTGTGCCAATTTTCAAGAGGCTCAGACACTGCACATGGATTGTAGAACAGTTTGGTATCCCTGTCTCTACTAAAATGTGTCAAAGTTGAAATTTTAAAAATGGGCCATTTAGAGGGCCTGTATCTTAGGAACTCCTTCATCTAATGACTCCAAATTTGCATCACAAACCCTGCCATGGACCCTGAACCAGCATATCTAATTTCAAGATAATCTGACTGAGCATGCAGGTTTCAAGAAGGATTAAAAGTCTCTGTCTCAGTGCAAAAAAAGCATGATAAGCAAGTTGAAATTTTAAATGTGTTCTTTTGGAAGGGCTGTATCTCAGGAACCCCTCTATTAAATTGCCTCAAATTTGCACTGCAAAGTATATCCCAGGCGCTGAATTGGTGTGTCAATTTTCAAGCCAATCTGCAGCTGCATGTGGATTTTAGAACAGCTTGGAAATTCCTATCTGCAAAATAGCATGATCAGAAGAGAGCTGAAACTTTAAAAATAGTTCATTTTGGGGAGCCCTGTCTCAGGAACCCGTTTATCAAACAACCCTGATTTTGCACCACAAACTGCCTCCCCAGGCTCTGAATTGGTGTGCCAATTTTCTAGGTCCTTGGACCATGCATGTGGATTGTAGAACAGTTTGGATGTCCCCATTCCTGCTAAAATGCCTAAGAAAGTTGAAATTAAAAAAGGGTCCTTTTGAGGGTGCTCCTGAGCACCCCTTTATCAGAGGACCCCCAATTTGCTCCACAGACTGTGCCCCAGGCCCTAGAGCATGGCCCCAGGCCCCTTCCTACCCCTGGCCCTTGAGCATGGCCCTGTCTGATTTCCCCGTGCAGCGCCGAAGGGCCGGGGCGGGCAGGAAATGCAAGGTCCCCTGTGAGTACTGGCTCCTGCTGGACAGGGCCCCCACTGACTCCAGCCCCCGAGCGCGGCCCTTCCGCTTTCCCCACGCAGGCGCTGACTGGCAGGGCCAGTGGACGGGGCCGTGTGCCCTGGGGCTACACTGAAGGGCCGGGGCAGGAGGGGAAGGAGAGATGCCCCCGTGAGTACTGGCCCCTGCTGTTGAAATATGGGATAAAAGGCAATTTCCTAGTTAAATAAGGGATGTCCCTTGTAATACGGGACTGTTGGCAGCCCTAGTTTGTCTGAACTGTGCCTGTGTTTATAGGAATTTTGTGTTTATACGAACTGTGTGTAAGTGTGACCTGTGTGTGTGTTTATATGAACTGTGTGGGAACTGTGCATTTGTATGAATTGTGTGTATTTATATGAATTGTGTATGTGAATTATGAGTGTGTTTATATTAACTCTGTGTGTGGATTTTGTATATTTACGAGAACTCTGCGTGTCCCCCCATGCGTGTGTTTATGTGAATGATGTGTGTTTATAAGAACTGTGTGTGTGTGTGCTTATCTGGATTGTGTTTATATGAACTGTGTCTGTTTCCGTGTGTACTTGTGTGTTGGTGTAAACCGTGTGTTTGAGTATCAAGATCGGGGTGTCTCTCTGGACGGAAATTCACTTTCACTCTTTCCTTTTTTTTTAATTTTCTTCTTCTCTTCCTCGTTTTCCTGAAATTCTGACTTTCTTGCACAGACAGTGTTAGGAATCAGGGTGTGGGTCATGTGTTAGGGGGAGGAGATGGTGCGTCTTTCTTCCTCTTTCCCACAGACCCACTGTGGAGCGTGCTGACAAATCCCAGTGCAAAGTGTATGGGGGCGGGGGGGGGGGGAGAGGGTAGGGGCGGTGGCGGTGGATAGAATTCAGGAACCCCGGCACCCCTGTGCTAACCCACCAGACCCCACTCCACTCCCAGAGCAGGGGAGAGAACCCAAGAGTCCTGACTCCCAGCCCTCCCTGCTTTAACCACGACACCCCACTCCCCTTCCAGAGCAGGGGAGAGAACCCAGGCATCCTGGCTCCCAGCTCCCCTGGACTGCTCTCACATCTGAGCCAGAGCCAAGTGGCTGAGGGGCACCCTTTAAATGCTGCAGTCCTGAAGCAGCTCTGGATCAGGAGGTTCCCTGGGCCCAACCCTGGTGAATCAGTCCCTCCCCCCTTCCCTTCTTCCACCCAGTACCGTGTGGAAGGGGACAGGCCCATTAGCTATCGGACCAGAGGAACAGTGAGTCCATGGGCTCCAGGAGCCGCCATTGCCCTGTAGGCTCCCACCCACCCCCATAACCTGCTCTCCCTCTCATTTTCTCTTCTTCCTCCTATCCTGCGGTTCAGGGCCATTCCCTGTCCCCATGGGCAGCCCCCTGCCACCATCCCTCTTCCCAGCCACCCTGCAGGAGTATTACAGATGGGAGCAACTGGCCTTCGGGGTGAATATCCTGTGACAGAGATAGGGATAGAACCCAGGAGTCCTGGCTCCCAGCCCCCCGACCTAAGCACTAGACCCCCCTCTCCCCGAGTCAGGGACAGAACCCAGAAGTCCTAGCTTCCAGTGCCCCCTGCTCTGACCCACTAGACCCCACTCCCCTCTTAGAGCCAGGGATAGAACCCAGGAGTCCTGGCTCTGTTTCGGAGCCCAGATATGTTTAACAGCTGATCATCTCTAAGGAAGGCATCTCAGCGCCCCATTGTGCCATGGCAGGTCGCCCAGATTGTGATGGGGATGGTGCAGACAGGTCTCTGAGAAGTGCTGGTGCCTTTCCTGACCTACTGGAGTCTGAATGTGGAGATTTCTCTGCAGTGGATCGGTACGCAGGTATGTGCCATGGGCAACCTCTGAGGTCTCTGGCACCCCTAGAAGGGAAAAGGTCCCATGCCCCATTCCCCACCCCTCTGAGCCAGTGAGTCCTGGACCTGGGGCTGGATCAGAGCTGGCACCCCCTAGTGGTGTAATCTGTCTCTTGTACCCTACAGTACATTGCTTCTGGATCCCTCAGCATGGTGACTGTCAGGACCCCCGTCTCTCACTGGTGAGGCAGGCTGGAGTTTGCGGGGGCTGGTGTGGGGCGGCTGGCCAGCCAGAGAGGGAGCTGGGCAGTGTACAAGAGGAGCTGTTGCTGAGTTTTGCACAGCTGCCTGGCGGTGTTTTTCTGCAAATTGATTTATGGCTGTTTGCACCTAACCATAAACTTTTATCTTAAACAAATAGTTGTCTGGCTTCCATGCTGATGAAAGTCCTGGCAGGTGTGAAGGGCCCCTGAGGTGGCTAGAAGTGCTCCAGGTGTAGATACCACAAGTCCTCTTTTTCTTTTTGCGGATACAGACTAACACGGCTGCTACTCTGAAACCTTTATTTCTTATATAGGTACCTGGCTCCAACTACCAGCCCCCACTTCCTTCCCAGATCTGGGGCTAGAACCAGGTGTTCTGACTCCCAGCCGAAGTGGGCATCTGATGGAGGTCTATACACTCATGTGTGGTGTGGAGAGGGTGGAATAGGGAAGTGTTATTTATCCATTAATGTAAAACAAGAACTAGGGGTCACCCGATGACATTAATAGGCAGCAGCTTTAAAGCGAACAAAAGGAAGTATTTCTTCACACAATGAGCATGTAACAGTGCAGGACTCACCCCTGCAGCGCCTCCTGCTGGTCTCTCAGGGAATTAGATTTTCCAGCCTTCGGAGCGCCCTCTGCAGGCCAGTGTCCAGCTTGCCACTGGCCCCCATGTCCCTCCCAGACCCCAGGGCCCCTTTTACCCAGGGTGCTGCCCCCTGGCAGTACCCCCACAGTCTCTGGGTCTCCCCTCCCCAGGGAACCCCCACCCACTATCCCCACCTTGACTCAGTCTTTGGCTACTGCCAGTCACCATTGAGCCCCCGCACACTGGGGCAGACTGCAGTGTATAAGCCAATCATCACAGGCAAGGGGGGTTTGGACCTGCTGCCTCTGGCTGCCCCCTGCAACCCCAGTACCTATCTTAGGCCTCCCAGCTCCTCTGGCCTTCCCCAGCCCTGCTTCACCTCAGATACCCAGGTACACTCCCCAGCAGCCAGGCCCTTCTCCCTCTAAAGGCAAAGAGAGACTCTCTCTGCTCCTGGCCCACTGCCCTCTTATAAGGGCCAGCTGAGCCCTGATTGGGGCGCGGCCACAGCTGAGCCTGCTTCCCCCAGCCAGCCCGGGAACTGCTTGCTCCCAGCGCAGCAAGTCCGAGTGCTTTAAAGCGCTAGTGTAGACAGGCTCCGAGCACTGGGCCCCTCGTGGAGGCGGATTACCAGGAGCGCTGGGAGAGCTCCCGCCCGGCGCTCGCGCGCGACTACTTCAAAGCATTGCCACGGGAGCGTTCCCATGACAGCGCTTTGAAGTTTCCAGTGTAGCCAGGCCCTTTGCAATTTTCAGCTTTTAGCAAGCTGGGCAAAAATGCTGTCCCACCACACGTGATTTCAGCTCTAATTTAACCAGAAGTACTTGTGGCACCTTAGAGACAAACAAATTTGACTAATAAATGCCATAAGTACGTCTCATTCTTTTTTCTGATACGGACTAACATGACTACCACTCTGAAACAGCTCTCATTTAAGCACTTAAAATAAGAAAAAGCTCCTAATAGAGCCAACTTAGCTTTATTTTTGAACAGCTGGGAGGAAGAAGCTAAACCAGACTGGGGACCCTCAGGCAGAGTCTACACCTCCTGGCGGGACCGGGACCCTGTCCCAACTACAACTTTCACAGGGCTCTGGCATTCGAGCGCCTAGCTTAGGGAGTTCCTTTCCGCTGAGGGTGACCCCCTCATTTGGGACAATTCTGCTCTCCTTTATTCATACAATAAAGACAACAATATTGATAACAGCATTTCACTCCCCCTGCATTCAGTACTAAAGTGATTTGTAACCAACACCAGCCAAAGTCGATCACTTTGAGCAACGCCGCCCTGTCTGCTGGATACCTGCGCAGAGTAGGTGTGTTCATGTAGATACAGTTTGCTCCTGAAGTCTTTCCCCCTCCCAGCTAGCTGTCAGGGGAGAGCTCATTCAGACCCTGCTTACATAACTCTATGGACTCTGGCTGCTAGGCCATACAGCCCCACCCCGCAGGGCAACTCTACTGACTCTGGCAACTTGACTTCACTGCTCTGTGAAGTCAGGATAACTCTATGGACTCTGGCCACTAGGCCTCACTGCCCTGAGAGCCTGGAGTATTTCTATTGACTGTGGCTGCTAGGCCACATTGCCCTGCGAACTAGGGTAACTCTATGGACTCTGGCCGCTAGGTCTCACTGCCTAGCGAGCCCAGAGTAGCTCCATTGACATTGGCCACTAGGCCTCGCTGCCCTAGGGTAATTCTATGGATTCTGGATGTTAGGTCTTGCTGCCCTGTGGAGAAGGGCTACTCCACTGACTTGGGCCATGAGGCCCTACGGACAGGGTTGCCAGGTGTCCAGTTTTTGACCGGAATGCCCAGTGAAAAAGGATCCTGATGGCTCCAGTCAGCACCACTGACCGGGCCGTTAAAAGTCTGGTTGGCAGGCAGGAAACCTGCCTTAGCCCTGCTGCGCCACCAACGGGGAGTCGCCTGAGGTAAGTGCCACTCAGCTGGAGCCTGCACCCTGAGCCCCCTCCTGTACCCCAACCCTCTGCCCCCGGTCTGCACCCCCTCCTGGACCCCAACTCCTTCCCAGACACTGCTCCCCCACCTGCACCCTACCCCAGCCCTGAGCCCCCTTCTGTACCCAAACTCCCTCTTGGAGCCTGCACCCCAACCCCTGAGCCCTCTCCCGCACTCCACATACCATGGCCTCAGCCCAGAGCATCCTCCTGCGTCCCAAACCCCTCATTCCTGGCCCCACCCTAGAGCCCACACCCCCAGCTGGAACCCTCACCCCCTCCTGCCCCCAACCCTCTGCCCCAGCCCAGAGCCCTCTCCTGCACCCTGAAACCCTCATTTCTGGCCCAACCCTGCAGCCCGCAACCCTATCCAGAGCCCTCACCCCCTCCCACACACCAACCCCCTGCCCCAGCCCAGTGAAAGTGAGTGAGGTTGGGGGAGAGCAAGCAACTGAGGGAGTGGGACTGGAGTGAGTCGGGGTGGGGCCTAGAGAAGGGGCAGGGCAGGGACCGGACCTCAGCGAAGGGGCAGGGCAGGGGGCAGGGCAAGGGTGTTCAGTTTTGTGCAATTAGAAAGTTGGCAACCCTACATTGATTTAGTCCTTAGGTCTCACTGCCTAGAGACAGAGGGCAGCTCGAAGGACAAGGTGAACTCACCCCGCAGTGGACGGGGTCCCCCCACCCTGTCACGGTCGGCAATAAACCTGACCAAGTACCTTTGCTACTAAATGGTTCAAGAATGTTAACATGGTCAAAATCAGAAAGGTTCATTTTGACTTTTTCAGAATGAAATGTTTGGATTTTTTGGTTGGAACCAACTTTCCATTTCAGACTTTCTTTAATTTTATTTAAAAAAGAACAATTCCAAAGCATTAAGAAATGATCAAACTAAGGACTTTTAATTTGGATTTCATCAAAACGAAATGTTTCATTTGACCCAAACCAAAACTTTTTCTTGCTTTTTGTTTCACCCAAAATGTTCGTTTTTGAGCCGACCTGAAATGAATATTATTGTCGTCTTTTGGAAATTGCCAGTGAACCAGAAAAATCCAATATTTGCCCAGCTCTAGTTTTGAACTGCACGGAAATGTTTTCCACAGTAGTAGATCTCCTGGTTCCCACCCTAGTGCATCTTCCCCTAGGTCAGGGAAGGGAAAGAGGTAGACGGGGTTGACGGTCCCTTCCACATGCTTTCCTGTCTCTGCTCCTGTCCTTTTCCCATACAAAGCATGTTGCAATGGCTTCCTAACTGCCCATACCCCCACTACCCTCTCCATGCCCTTCCAGGGTGGCATGAGGGGTGAAGCCCAAACCCTCTGACTGCCCCCATGCGGAGGAGGGCAGTGCTCATTGGGAGTGCCCTGAGCATGCTAGCAGCTGGAGCGAGCATTTTCCTCTACATCATGTTGCTGAGCGAGGTGAGTATTGGATATTGTGGGGTCTTGGTGGGCAGACATTCATCTGCTGCATCCTCCATGGAGAACACTCTGCCCCAAGCAATGCAGCACCCCTTACCAAGGCCCCCCCACACTTCCTGCAGCACGGCGCCCCCAACCCAGCCTCCATCCTGCTCCCTGCAGCCCAGCTGCCACTAGCCCCATGCTGGGTTTTTGGGGGACAGTATTAAATGTGAGGGAAGAGCACCCCCTACTGAGTCCCACCCTGGTCCCTGCAGCAGGGCCCCCCCTAGCACAACACAGGGGGAAGCACTTAGTCCAGGGGGCGAGTGCCCCCTCCTGGGCCCCCCACATTGCTCCATGGGTGTACAGGGTTATATATTCCTCAGCTTCAAGAGAGTCTTTTTTAAACAGACTCTTCGCTTTCTGGTCCCCTGTGGTCAGAAAATCACAGGCCTTTACGTCAGTTAAAACAGGTTGCAGCTTCCACCTCCCCCAGTACAGGAATCCCCCCCCGCCCCGTGATAAACATCTGGCCAGAGTTTCCCCTTTCGCTTGCCACTGAAAGCTGGTGGGTGCTTTGAAGAGTTTGAGCAAGCGCTGAGCAGCTTGCTGACAGCAGTACGGGCATGAGAATGCGCAGCCCTGCAGCCCCCTGCCACGCACAGGGGTGGGGGCAGCCCCCAGGGATCAGAAGATCTCAGGAGATCCAGCCCCAGCAGTGTTGTAACCTCCCCCTAGGAGCTGAACCAAGCTGCGCTACAGGCTGTTATAGCCAGAGGGGAAATGATGTAGTGGTTAGAGCGGGGAGGGAGCTGGGAGTCAGGACTCCTGGGCTCTCTACCCCGCTCTGGGAGGGGAGTGTGGTTTATAGGGGGTTAGAGCGGGGGGGCTTGGAGCCAGGGCTCCTGGGTTCTGTCCCCGGCTCCGGAAGGGGAGTAGGGTCTAACAGTCAGAGCATGAGGAGGGTAGGACTGGGCGTCAGAACTGCTGGGTACCATGACCGTTCAGGGCAGAGACTGAATAGGGGCCCTGGGACTCACGAGTTCTGGGTTCTGTTCCTTGCTGTGGCACTAACCGGGTGTATGACTGAGCACCTGCAGAACAGCGCCCCCTAGCGCCGCACTGGGGCCAGATCTGACTTCGAGGCGAGAGCTCCCCCTCCTGACCCCCCTGGCTCCCTCTCAGTTGTCTTTCAGTGCAGTACACTCTCCCCGCACAGTGTGACCAGATACATGGAAGCTCAGGGGTTATAGCGTGACTCAGCGATTGGTTAGCCAGCCGTCCACCGAGTGTACCTCTGCCCCCCACATCTGATCCCCTTGCAAATGCCTCTGGCCTCACGACGCCCCCTGTGAGTCAGGGCAGTGCTTGTATCCCCACGGTACAGAAGGGAAACTGAGGCACAGAGGGACTAAGTGGCCCGGCTAAGGGGAGTCTGGAGCAGAGCAGGGGCTGCAATGCCGCTCTCCCAAGAGTGAGCCTAGTGCTCTAACTATTGAGCCTGCCTGCCTCTCTGCCGCCCCTGGCTGAGCTGTGCTCTTGCCAGCATAGCCATCAACTTTCCTTTCTCAGAAGTATGGCTCCTGGGCTGGCACCAGGGCGTTTGCCGGGTTACCGAGGGGGGATGGGTGGGCCCCTGTTCACCTCATCATGGCGTCTGTTTGCTACATGCCGGCAATGATGCAGCATCGCTGCGTAGCCAGCCTGCCAGTGAAATCAAACAGTGGCCAGGAACAGGCCGGCTCCGGGTTCGCTTAGTGCCACGCAGCCTCAGTGAGTGAGTCAGAGGTGTCAAGAAGAAAAGGAGTACTTGTGGCACCTTAGAGACTAACCAATTTATTTGAGCATGAGCTTTCGTGAGCTACAGCTCACTTCATCGGATGCATACCATGGAAACTACAGCAGACTTTATATATACACAGAGAATATGAAACAATACCTCCTCCCACCCCACTGTCCTGCTGGTAATAGCTTATCTAAAGTGATCATCATCTGGGGGGGGGTAGGAAAAAACAAGAGGAAACAGGCTGGGAGTGGCTAAGTCATTATGCAAGGTAGCCTGTTTCCTCTTGTTTTTTCCTACCCCCCCCCCCCCAGATGTTCTGGTTTAACTTGGATTTAAACTTGGAGAGTGGTCAGTTTGGATGAGCTATTACCAGCAGGAGAGTGAGTTTGTGTGTGTATGGGGGTGGGGGGGATGTGAGAAAACCTGGATTTGTGCAGGAAATAGCCCGACTTGATTATGTAAAGAGTTGTCACTTTGGATGGGCTAGCACCAGCAGCAGAGTGAATTTGTGTGGGGGGGTGGAGGGTGAGAAAACCTGGATTTGTGCTGGAAATGGCCCACCTGATGATCACTTTAGATAAGCTATTACCAGCAGGACAGTGGGGTGGGAGGAGGTATTGTTTCATATTCTCTGTGTATATATAAAGTCTGCTGTAGTTTCCATGGTATGCATCCGATGAAGTGAGCTGTAGCTCACGAAAGCTCATGCTCAAATAAATTGGTTAGTCTCTAAGGTGCCACAAGTACTCCTTTTCTTTTTGCGAATACAGACTAACACGGCTGTTACTCTGAGAGGTGTCAAGGTGACACTTAGGCATGAAAAGCCACTGTCAGTGCTCAAAGACACTCATCTGTCTGTCCCCACAGACACCCCTCTGTCCATCTGTCCCCCCCCACCCCTCTGTCCCTATACACACCTCTCTATGTATCTATCTGCCCCTGTAGACACCCCTCTGTCTATCCCCATACACTCCCATCTATCTATCTATCTCCATAAACCTCCACTATCATCTAATCTATCTATCTATCTCCATACACCCCCATCTATCTATGTATCTATCCAGTATCTTGCTTTCACATTTAGACATCTGGACACTGAGCAGGTTTAATTCTTTCCACTAGGAGGCAGTGCACACACACACACTCTCCCTCTCTCTCTCTCCCGTCCCCAGGCGTGCCCCATCCCGCAGGTGACAGACATCCCAAGCCACAGTTCACAGATGATGCTTTATTGCTACACTACACCCAGGGCTGGCTGCAGGGGGCGCCCTGCCAGTCGGGGCAGCATCCTGGATCCTTCCAGCAGCTGGGACAGGTCGGCCGGCGTCCAGCAGGGCCCCTCTGAGCCAGGCCTGGATTCATCTGGAGAAAGGACACAGGGTTGGCGTGAGCAGGGAGACTGGCTGCAGTGCCCCAGCGGGGATGTGCCTGGAAAGGGGGCTCAGGCAGGGCTGGGGGGCAGAGATCTGAGATTTGCAAACTGGGCGTGTGACTCTAGAGCTGGTGCCACTTACAGCGAACAGTCGCTGCTCTCGGTGGGGACCCCCGTCACCTTGAAATCATCCACCTGGAAGACCCAGCGGCCCTGAACCCCGACGTTGCTCGTCTGCCCAATGTGGAGGATGGCGGCGGTGCGGGAGCCCGGGATGTTGTAGAAGTTTTTGTCATCGCCGCTGTTGAAGCCAGCCTGAGACATGGGGAGCAAATGTTAATGCAATAGCCCATCGCAGCACCCCCGACTGCCATGCTGGGGTATTGGGACAGCACTGACAATGAGGGGAGTGAGCCCCCTACTGAGCCCCCGCCCCGCTCCCTGCAGCACAGCTCCCCCTACTGAGCCCCCGCCCCGCTCCCTGCAGAACAGCGCCCCCTACTGAGTCCGTACCCCTCTCCCTGCAGCACAGCACCCCCTGCTGAGCCCCGGCCCCATTCCCTGCCACACAGCGCCCCCTATTGAGCCTGCACCCCTCTCCCTGCAGCACAGCGCCCCCTACTGAGCCCCCGTCCCATTCCCTGCAGCACAGCGCCCCCTACTGAGCCCCTGTCCCATTCCCTGCAGCACAGCGCCCCCTACTGAGCCCCCGTCCCATTCCCTGCAGCACAGAGCCCCCTACTGAGCCCCCGTCCCATTCCCTGCAGCACAGCGCCCCCTACTGAGCCCCTGTCCCATTCCCTGCAGCACAGCGCCTCCTACTGAGCCCCCGTCCCATTCCCTGCAGCACAGCGCCCCCTACTGAGCCCCTGCCCTGCTCCCTGCAGAACAGCGCCCCCTACTGAGTCCGTACCCCTCTCCCTGCAGAACAGCGCCCCCTACTGAGCCCCAGCCCCATTCCCTGCCACACAGCGCCCCCTATTGAGCCTGCACCCCTCTCCCTGCAGCACAGCACCCCCTACTGAGCCCCCGTCCCATTCCCTGCAGCACAGCGCCTCCTACTGAGCCCCTGCCCCGTTCCCTGCAGCACAGTGCCCCCTACTGAGCCTGCACCCCTCTCCCTGCAGCACAGCACCCCCTACTGAGCCCCCGTCCCATTCCCTGCAGCACAGCGCCCCCTATTGAGCCTGCACCCCTCTCCCTGCAGCACAGCACCCCCTACTGAGCCCCCGTCCCATTCCCTGCAGCACAGCGCCTCCTACTGAGCCCCTGCCCCGTTCCCTGCAGCACAGTGCCCCCTGCTGAGCCCCGGCCCCGTTCCCTGCAGCACAGCGCCCCCTGCTGAGCCTCCACCCCACTCCCTGCACGACAGCACCCCCTACTGAGCTACGGCCCCGCTCTCTGCAGCACAGCACCTCTACTGAGCCCCCGCCCTGCTCCCTGCAGCACAGAGCCCCCTACTGAGCCCCCGCCCCATTCCCTGCAGCACAGAGCCCCCTACTGAGCCCTCACCCCGCTCCCTGCAGCACAGCGCCCCCTACTGAGCACCGGTCCCGTTCCCTGCAGCACAGCGCCTCCTACTGAGCCCGCACCCCTCTCCCTGCAGCACAGCACCCCCTACTGAGCCCCTGTCCTGGCTCATGCTGCCACCTCGTGCCGTATTCCTGTATGTGCTGTATAAGGGGACTTACCTGGGCAGGAGTGCCCCCTAGGCCGGTGTTGGCGTCTCCGCCACTCGCTGTGCCCGTGGTCCACTGGATTGTGCCATAGTTCAGCATAATGAAGGTGACTTTGCCGTTGTTTGCCAGCAGGGCCTGGAATGTGTTCACCTGCAGCAGAGCGGGAAGGGACCTGGGTGAATCAGTCTGAGAGGTGGGAGGGGAATCCTGCGCGGGGACTGTGGGAGGAGAAGGCCAGGTGCCTGGGGGAGGCTGGCCTTGGCCTCCCCATGGGGTACTCCACCCCTGCTGTGCTACGTATAGGTGCCAATGAAACCAATTGGTCGGTAGGTGGAGGATTCGCTGCTCCTTGAAGTCTTGAAACCAGGATTTGAGGACTTCAGTAGCTCAGACACAGGTGAGAGGTTTTTTGCAGGAGTGGGTGGGTGAGATTCTGTGGCCTGCATTGTGCAGGAGGTCGGACTAGAGGATCATAATGGTCCCTTAGTATCTATGAATCTATGGGGAGACCCCTAGTGGTGACCATAGGAGTTAAATAGCTGCGGGACCCACAGGTCCCGCAACCCTGCTAGCCAGTCCCCCCGGAGAGCCCCCTAGTGGCGAACATGCGCCGTGCAGCATGGGAGCTTCACAGCAGCAGGAAGCACAGGGTCCTGTCTGGATCCAGCAGCCCAGCTAGCCAGTCTCCCTCCCTGTCTCTCTCCCCTGCCCCTAGGGGCTTGGCGGGGGCCTTGGGGAGTGAGGCGCCACCTACCTTCTGGGAGGTGGAGCCGTAGTAGGCCACACGGTCCCAGGTGGCCACGAAGGCCCACGTGGCAGTGAAGGGGATCGCCGGGAAGTACTGGTTGATGTCTCCGGTGAGGCGGTGCAGCAGCTCGGGGTCCTGGGTCTCCCGGTAATAGACGTCCCCACGCAGGTTGTTGTTCACATCACCCCAGTAGGGGGCCACAAAGGGGCGGCCATCAGCCAAGGGGAAGGGGTCGGGGGTGTACTGGGTGACGGACACGCCGAAGGACACCACGCCATTGTTGTTCACCTGTGGGGGTGGGGAGCAGAGTGGGGGATGTAGGAACACAGCAGAGCATGGCTAACACCCTCCTTGCAGCACAGCACCCCCCACTGAGCCCCCACCCCTATCCGTGCAGCACAGCACCCCCTACCGAGTCCCCTGTCCTGCTCCCCGCAGCACAGCGCCCCCTACTGAGTCCCCTGTCCTGCTCCCTGCAGCACAGCGCCCCCTACTGAGTCCCCTGTCCTGCTCCCTGCAGCACAGCGTCCCCTACTGAGTCCCCTGTCCTGCTCACCATAGCACAGCGCCCCCTACTGAGTCCCCTGTCCTGCTCACCATAGCACAGCGCACCCTACTGAGTCCCCTGTTCTGCTCCCTGCAGCACAGCACCCCCTACTGAGTCCCCTGTCCTGCTCCCTGCAGCACAGCGTCCCCTACTGAGTCCCCTGTCCTGCTCACCCCCCTCCCTGTCTCCCTAGCACAGCGCCCCCTACTGAGTCCCCTGTCCTGCTCACCATAGCACAGCGCCCCCCCTCACTGAGTCCCCTGTTCTGCTCCCTGCAGCACAGCACCCCCTACTGAGTCCCCTGTCCTGCTCACCATAGCACAGCGCCCCCTACTGAGTCCCCTGTCCTGCTCACCATAGCACAGCGCACCCTACTGAGTCCCCTGTCCTGCTCCCTGCAGCACAGCGTCCCCTACTGAGTCCCCTGTTCCATTCCTCACAACATGGTGCCTCCTGCTGAGGCTCGCCCACACCCACAATGCCCAGTGGGATGCGAGGCACCTCAGCTGGTGATGGGGACACAGACACAGACATCCACTGAGTCTAAGGCCAGGTGGGTCCATCCTGCCCACCTGCTCTGCCGTCCTGCCTAACCTCGGTCTCAGAACCTCCCCTGGGGATCCCAGCCTCCAGCCCAGCCCTGTGGTTGAGCTAGAGCACAGCTTTCAGATGCCCCATCTCCATGGAAAGACTCTGAAAGATGGAGACCCCACCCTGCCACTGGGGCAGTCATGCCAAGGGTTGGCTGCCCTCCCTCCCTAGGGCAAAGTCACCCCTCGTTTCCAGCCTGGATTTGTCCAGCTTCATCTCCCAGCCATCAGCTCTCACTATGCCCAGGTCTGCTGGGTTCAGGAGCTCTCTGCACTGAGCAATCTCCTCCCCAGGGAGGCGCTGATAGACCAGGATCAAATCCCCTCTTGGGCTTCTCTGGAGAAATTGAGCAGAGCGAGGTACTTATGGCTGTCTGTCTAAATACTGTTGGTACAATAGATAAATAGAGAGACCGTGTCTATGGGGATAGATAGATAGATAGATAGATAGATAAGCAGAAAATTACGCCTGAGCCCTAGGAATTGGTTACTGGTGGGTACTTACATTGACAGGGTTACAGCTGAGCCCTAGGAACAGGGTAAGAGTGGGTGCCCTAGAGTGTGCATGTGACAGAGAATTTTGTGTGGGTAACAGCATGGATAGATAGACAGCTCTCTGTGGCACCCTACTGCTGGCTGCCTGTGAGCCGTGTGCCTTGGGGTTGGCAGTGGGATCGACCTTGCTGTACATACATAGAGGGAACGGTGCTCCTTGCCATAGAAGGTGAAGGTCATGGAGATGGGGATCTCCGGTGATGACCCATCGTCAGCTTTGGGGTTCTGCCGGTCGCCCTGGGCAGGTCCATAGGGATACAGCAGGGAGTCTGGGGCGGGGAGAACGTGCCTTGTGAGAGCCTGGAGCACCTCCTCCCCGTCGGGTCCCATTGGCCCCCGGAGAGCCACCTCCCACCTCATCCCCAGCCTGATGCCCTTTGGGATCAGCAGTGCCCCCGCATGGTGTCAGGAGCTACTATGGGAGGGCTCCCCGTTGGCCTTTGTATTCAGAGCCATGCTGAAACAAACCAAATCCCCCCAATCTTCACCCTGATCCTCCCCATCCATAACATAGCCCTCCACCCCGATTCTCCAACCACCTCTAATACAGGCCCCTACCCTGATCTTCCCCCCTCACCCCATCCCTAACATAGACCTTGACCCGATCCTCCATCCACCACTAATACGGGCCCCTACCCTGATCCTCCCACCTCCCCTCACCCCTAACATAGCACCACCCCAATTCTCCACCCACCCCTAATACAGGACCCTACCCAAATCCCTGCTCCTAACACAGTCCTCCATCCCGATTCTCCACCCCAACCCTAATACAGGCCTCTGTTGGACCATATTAAAGAAGTTCTGTATTAAAATCACAAATGAGTTTGATTCCCCATAGTTTAAATTCCAGGGTATTACTAACTAAGAGGTCTCTTGGTTTTTGGTACTGTTTCTCTCCCTCTATGTGTGAAACTTGCAAGCTGCTAATTATGTTAGTACATTCTAAGACAGAGTCTGTTCTCAAAGCAATTCTTTGTAACAACAACAACTACTCACAGAGAGAGAGAGAGACTCAAAGCAATACTTTGTAACAATAGAAACAGCACCCAGAGACTCCCCACCCTTTTGTTGTATTAACAATTGTGATTAAAATAGAGATAGAGGATGTATGTGGATGGATGCTTGGTGTGGATAATAACTGAATGATCAGGGAGGTGCCAGCCTAAGAATCCAGTGTCCATCGGCTGAAGAAGGTGTCAAGTGGAAATAACCAGAGGACCCCCGGAGGGCAGACTGCAACCCACCCAACAGCCTCAAGAATGGGAGAACCAAAGAAGAAGATAACATCTGGCAGCACGGAGCCGTCAGGAATGTGCCATCTGCTGATTGATTCAGCAACAGCATGATGAAGCAATTCCCATAGACTGGCCTACGAATAAATTCCTATAAAAGTAGACTCTAGAAAGTGAGAACTTTGGGGGTCTGATTCTGCAAACCAACTTCCAGGAGCATCAGACGAGCATCTGACGAGGCCCTGCTCCCTCCTCATGTCCAGGCCACCTGGCCAGTGGCTTGGCATGAGCAACTCTAAGGCTGGTAACTATGATAACAACCTTGCAGAACCTGTGTGTGTGTGTGTGTTTGTATGAATGAATGTGTGAATAAATATGAGATTGAATGGAATGTTATAACTAGAACTAACTGCTTACTAGGATTCTTTCTGTATTCACAGTAAATGTGGTATTTTGCCTTTTCCTCTTTAATAAGATCCTGCTGGTTTTTATTTTATTGGTATAACACCTCTACCCCAATCCCCACACCAACACAACCCCCACTCTGATTTTCCACCCCCACCTCTAATACAGGCCCCTACCCTGATCCCCACCCCACCGTGATTTCCCACCCCTAACACATTCCCCTATCCCAATTCTCCACCCCACCCCAATACAGCCCCCTACCTTGATTCTCACCTAGGGTTGCCAACTTTCTAATTGCCCAAAATCCAACACCCTTGCCCCACCCTGCCTCTTCTCTGAGGCCCCACCCCCACTCACTCTGTCCCCCCTCCCTCCGTCACTTGCTCTCCCCCATCCTCATTCATTTTCACCGGGCTGGGGCAGGGGGTTGGGGTGCGGGATCCAACCAGGTAGTGCTTACCTCAGGTGGCTCCCGGTTGGTAGCACAGTGGGGTGAGAGGGGTGAGGGCTCCAGCTGGGGATGCAGGCTCCAGGCTGGGGCCAGAAATGAGGGGTTCAGGGTGGGGCTCTGGGCTGGGGCAGAGGGTTGGGGTGTGGGAGGAGGTGAGGGCTCTGGGGTCAGGATGAGTATGAGGGGTTTGGGGTGCAGGGAGGGGCTCTGGGCTTGGGTAGGAGGCTCAGGGTGTGGGTGGGGGTGTAGGTGCAGCTCTGGAAGGGCGTTTGGGTGTGGGAGGGGGCTCTGAGCTGGGGCAGGGGGTTGGGGTGTGGGAGGAGGTGAGGGCTCTGGGGTCAGGATGAGTATGAGGGGTTTGGGGTGCAGGGAGGGGCTCTGGGCTTGGGTAGGAGGCTCAGGGTGTGGGTGGGGGTGTAGGTCCAGCTCTGGAAGGGCGTTTGGGTGTGGGAGGGGGCTCTGAGCTGGGGCAGGGGGTTGGGGTGTGGGAGGAGGTGAGGGCTCTGGGGTCAGGATGAGTATGAGGGGTTTGGGGTGCAGGGAGGGGCTCTGGGCTTGGGTAGGAGGCTCAGGGTGTGGGTGGGGGTGTAGGTGCAGCTCTGGAAGGGCGTTTGGGTGTGGGAGGGGGCTCTGAGCTGGGGCAGGGGGTTGGGATGCAAGAGCTGGTTTGGGGTGTGGGCTCCGGCCAGGCGGCTCCTGGTCAGTGATGCAGCAGGGCTAAGACAGGCTCCCTACCTGCCATGTCTCCGAGCTGCTCCCAGAAGCAGCCTGCATGCCCAGCTCCTAGGCGTAGGCGTGGCCAGGCGGCTCTGTGCGGTGTGCACGGCCTGTGCCCGCAGACACCGCCCCCACAGCTCCCATTGGCCACGGTTCACAGCCAACGGGAGCTGCGGAGCCAGAGCTGGGGGCAGCACGTGGAACTTTCCTGATCGCCTCCGCACCTGGGGCCGGACATGCCGGCTGCTTCCGGGGAGCTGCGAAGAGCCAGAGCAGGCCGGGAGCCTGCCTTAGCCCCACTGCGCTGCCGACTGGACTTTTAAAGGCCTGCTTAGTGGTGCTGACTGGAGCCGCCAGGGTCCCTTTTTGACTGGGTGTTCTGGTCAAAAACCGGACAACTGGCAGCCCCCCCCCCCCTCCCCAACCCTAACATGACTCCCAACTTGAACCCTACCCCGCTTCTCCACCCTTTCCTAATACAGGCCCCTCCCCAATCCTCACCCTGAACCTTCTCATCCCTAACGTAGCCCTCCACCCGATTCCCACCCCAATTCTCCACCCACCGCTAATACAGGCCCCTACCCCATCCTCACCCTGATCCTGCCCATCCCTAACATAGCCCCCCACCTGATTCTCCCCCCATCTCTAATACAGGCCCCTACCCTAATCCCTACCCCTAACACAGACTCCCACCCTGATTCTACCCCCCCCCCCCAATACCAGCCCCTACCCCAATCCCCCCACCCTGATTCTCCACCCCCACCCCTCATACAGGTCCCTACCCTGATCCACACCCCTCCCTCCCCATCCCTAACATAGCCCTACCCCGATTCTCCACCCCACCCTAATATAGGCCCATACCCCAATTCCCACCCCTAACAAAGCCCCCCACTCTGATGCTCCACCCCAATCCTAATACAGGCCCCTACCCCTATCCTCACCTTCACTCCCCATCCCTAACATGGCCCCCATCCAATCCCCACCCTGATTCTCCACCCCACCCCTAATACAGCCCCCCCCGATTCTCCACCCCCACCCCTAATACAGGCCCTCCACTCTGATTCTCCACCCCCACCCCAATACAGGCCGCTATCCTGATCCTCACCCCTCTCTCCCCATCCCTAACATAGTCCCCGACTCGATTCCTACCCTGATTCTCCACCCACACCTTTAATACAGGCCCCTACCTCGATCCCCACATCATCCGTAATACAGCCCCCAACCCTGAATTCCCACCACTAACACAACACACCCCCTACCCCGATTCTCCACCCCCATTCCTAATACAGGCTCCATCTCCCACCCTGGTCCCAACCTCACCCCTAATATGGGTCCCCCCCATTCCGAGCCATTCTTACCTTCTGCCATCACCACAGGGGCAGGCTGCACCAACCCTAGAGAGGGGAGGGAACAGACTGTCAGCCCCGGGGCAGGACACACTGACACCAGCCCCCCCCGCCTGATGGGCTCCAGACCCAGCGGTGGGCCTGGGCTCCACTCACCCAGCAGCAGCAGCAGGAAAGTGAGGGGGGTTTTCATCTCGGCCAGTCCCTTCGACGGGCAGCCGCTGGGTCGGGATGGGCAAGTGTAACAGCAGCCGGACTGCGGGGCCAGGAGAGGGAGTTAGGGTTAGGGAAGTTAGGGTAGTTAGCCAGTGAATCAACAGGATCTAGTGACATCTCCCCCCCGCCCCCATACGCACCCCACTGTCTATGTCTGTACAACGTCTATCTAATCTGCCTATCCCTATACACAGCCATCTCTCTCTCTCTCCCACCGCACGAGTGTTGTCACCTGTCCAGGATTTCCCAGGATCGTCCCTTTTTTGCTGTGGCTGTCCCGGGAAGTTTATAAGGATGATCAGCAGACACTGCCAGATGGCCAGCTTTCCGGGCTCAGGACTGTCCTGGATTTTGTCCCATTTTTCCCTACCTACACAATGGTAACCTTATCCCCTGCCACACCCATCCATCTGTCAATCACCCCACCCCATCCATATGGCATATAAGCCACCTTCTGCAAATATTAGTCACTTCATTTCTCACCACTGCTGGTTAGCAGTGTCCACAGCACAGCACAAAGACGAGCATAAGGAAATAACACCTCTGAATCCCAACCCCCCTGCTCCAGTCCACTAGGCCCCATTCCTGTCCAAGACCTAGGGAGAGAATCCAGGAGTCCTGACCCCAGCCCCTCTTGCTCTAAATCACTAGACCCCACTCCTCTCCCAGAGTTGGGGATTGAACCCAGGAATCCTGGCTCCCAGCCCACTTTGCTGTAATCATTGCAAGCCTCTTTCTATGGAAATGCTCATAAATAATATCATTTATGAAGTGGGTGCACAGAAACCCAGGTGGGCGAGTGTTTGTGGGTGAGTGCACACGTGGCTGTTCCTCATTTCTGTCTCTCAGACCTCGCCGAGCCTCACGGTCAAGGCGCTTAATTTGAACTCTGAGAGCTGTGTTCTAATCCCAGTGGTCCCACCAACTCCCTGTGTGACCGTGCCCATGTCACTTAGCCTCTTGTGCCTCAGTTTCCCCGTATGAGAAGTAATAGTCTTCCCTGTGTAGATTAGGAGCTTTTCAGGGTGTTGACTGTCTCTTACTTCATGTCTGCGCAGTGCCTGGCACAACAGGCGCCTTGATTATGGTCGGGTCTGTGCAGCGCCTGGCACAAGGGGGGCCCTGATCTCGGTCGGGGTCTGTGCACACCTGGCACAAGGGGGGCCCTGATCTCGGTCGGGGTCTGTGCACGCCTGGCACAAGGGGGGCCCTGATCTCGGTCGGGGTCTGTGCACGCCTGGCACAAGGGGGGCCCTGATCTCGGTCGGGGTCTGTGCAGCACCTGGCACAAGGGGGGACCTGATCTCGGTCGGGTCTGGGTAGCAGAGGGCACAGTGGGGGCCCTGATCTTGGTTGGGGTCTGGGCAATGGCTGGTACAATTTTGCCCTGATCTCTCACAGATGCTACTGAAATACAAAGCACTCACCAGCTGGGTCCGATCCGTTCAGCGTCTCTGACTTGCCCTGAATGAAACTCTCCAGCCAGCTGTGTCTCTTTATTTCACCTGGGACAGGGCTGGGAGACAGGAGTGCCCTCCTCCTCCCATGTGTCCCTCCCACCCCATGTGATCCTGGCCAGCGGCACAGCTGTTGCTGCTGTGTTTGTATGTGTGTGTTTGGCCTAATGAGAGATTCCAGGGGAGGAGCCCGGAAGCCCAGTGATACTGTGAGGGTGCAACTGAATCAGAGCTAAGGATAAACCTGCAGCCATGAGGCCAGGGAGATGGACACCTGGGAAGACTCCCCTGCCACCCGCCTCTTCTGGCCGAGGCCCTGCCCCTGCTCACTGCTCTCAGGCTCCCTGAGATCCCAGCCAGAGTGGGGAGGCAGGGCCAGATTTCCCTTTAAGTCCTGGGTGTGACGTTGCATTCTGAGCAGCAGTTCTGCAGAAAAGGACCTGGGGATTACAGGGGAAGAGAAGCTGGATATGAGTCAGCAGGGTGCCCTTGTTGCCAAGAAGGCTAACGGCATATTGGGCTGTATTAGTAGGAGCATTGCCAGCAGATCGAGGGAAGTGATTATTCCCCTCTATTCGGCCCCGGTGAGGCCACACCTGGAGTATTGCGTCCAGTTTTGGTCCCCCCACTACAGAAGGGATGTGGACAAACTGAAGAGTGTCTAGCAGAGGACAACGAAAATGATTAGGGGGCTGGGGTACATGACTTACGAGGAGAGGGTGAGGGAACTGGGGTTATTTAGTTTGCAGAAGAGAAGAGTTGGGGGGGATTTGATAGCAGCCTTCAACTACCTGAAGGGGGGTTTCAAAGAGGATGGAGCTCGGCTGTTTTCAGTGGTGGCAGATGACACAACAAGGAGTAATGGTCTCAAGTTGCAGTGGGGGAGGTCTAGGTTGGATATTAGGAAACACTATTTCACTAGGAGGGTGGTGAAGCACTGGAATGGGTTACCTAGGGAGGTGGTGGAATCTCCATCCTTAGAGGTTTTTAAGGCCCGGCTTGACAAAGCCCTGGCTGGGATGATTTAGTTGGTGTTGGTCCTGCTTTGAGCAGGGGGTTGGACTAGATGACCTCCTGAGGTCTCTTCCAACCCTAATATTCTATGATATGTTTATGGAAATATGCTTATGAGTGTAAATATGACATAACTGAAATATGCTTTGTGCTAGATATGCCATGTAACATATGTTTGCAAAGGTTATGATCTACTAAATATATTCATCCTATTTGTATGCATGTATGATTTTTATATCTAAAGTTATGAGCATTAGCTCTGTGTTTGTATTTGAAGTGTTTACTGTAGGAAACACATAAGGGAGCTTTGGCCAACATATTGTGAAGGGATGATTCAAGTATTGGGAGTACTTAACTAACAGTAGACTTTGGGAGACACCAAGCCACATCTGAACTTTCCTGGGAACCTTCAAACTAACATGTAAACAATGGCATCAGCCTGCAAAAAGCTGAATCATTCATGGACATGTGACTTGCCCAGGTGGCTACAAACTCCATCTTGTTGCTGTGATTTTGCACAGAAGAACAAAGGGGTTTCCGCCCACAAGAGAGAGAGAATATAAAAGGCCCTGGAAGCCTCTCCGTTTTGTCTTCAGCTGTCTAAAAAGATAGCCTCTCTACCCCAAAGAGATGCCTGAAAGAAACTGGAACAAAGGACTATAACTACGGGGTGTGAGTGATTGCGGAGGCCATAAACTACCATGTGCCAGGCCATAAACTACAATGTTGGTCTGAAAAGGATTGTTCCTGAGATAACATCTAGTGTGAGAAGTTAGTATTTGTAACTCGATCCTTAGTGTATTAACAAAAAGAAAAGGAGTACTTGTGGCACCTTAGAGACTAACCAATTTATTTGAGCATGAGCTTTCCTGAGCTACAGCTCACTTCATCGGATGCATACCGTGGAAACTGCAGCAGACTTTATATACACACAGAGAATATGAAACAATACCTCCTCCCACCCCACTGTCCTGCTGGTAATTGCAGCAGACTTTATATACACACAGAGAATATGAAACAATACCTCCTCCCACCCCACTGTCCTGCTGGTAATAGCTATTACCAGCAGGACAGTGGGGTGGGAGGAGGTATTGTTTCATATTCTCTGTGTGTATATAAAGTCTGCTGCAGTTTCCACGGTATGCATCCGATGAAGTGAGCTGTAGCTCAGGAAAGCTCATGCTCAAATAAATTGGTTAGTCTCTAAGGTGCCACAAGTACTCCTTTTCTTTTTGCGAATACAGACTAACACGGCTGTTACTCTGAAACCTGTCATTCGTGTATTAAGTTAGCCTTGTGTGTTTTATTTTATTTTGCTTGGGAACTTACTTTGTTCTGACTGTTTTTACTTGAAACCACTTAAATCCTACTTTTTATACTTAATAAAATCACTTTTGCTTATTAATTAATCCAGAGTAAGTAATTAATACCTGAGGGAGCAAACAGCTGTGCATCTCTCTCTATTGGTATTATAGAGGGCGGACAATTTATGAGTTTACCTTGTATAAGCCTTATACAGAGTAAAATGGATTTATTCGGGGTTTAGGATCCTAGAAAGACGGAATACTGGGTGCTGGGAAAGTCCCTGTTAACTGAGAAGGCCCTGTTCTAAATGAATCTTAGTTTTTGTGAACTGCAGGGCGGCATGGCCCAACCTCTTGGTCTGTGCTGGAGCCGACTGGTGTATCTAGCTCAGCAAGACGGGAGTGAAGGGAAGCCTTGTCTGGCAGGGGGGTTTGGTCTCAGTGGTATCCCAGCACATCGAGGGACAGTCTTGAGGGAGTTTCTCGGACCCAGCCTGTCACACTGGATTCTGTCCCCAGCTCAGGAAGGGGAGTGGGTTAGAGCAGGGGGCTGGGAGCCAGGATTCCCCCTCTTGATTTCAGACTTTGCTTCTACGTCACTATTCATCTGTGCACAAATCACATCAGACTCCTCTACGGGGGGTTTATGAGGCTGGATTCCCTGCGTTTGAGCTGCCCAGGTCAGACTCGGGTGAATCAGCTTCCTGTGCCACAGGCTGTTCTAATGCAGCCCCCTCCTCTTACCCAGGTAGTCTTGTTCCTTGTCACAACAGAAAACAGACCTTGCTCCCAGCCTCCAGACCATCCCCACTGCCCTCTCTGATGTCCACCATCACCTTGAACCCGGAGAGGGCACTGTTGTCACAGAGCAAAGCCACCTCATAGGCCCTGCTGCAGAGGGCTTCCCCAGAGGTGCTGTCAAAAGAGGTGAGCCGGGCTCCTGGGGCCAGCATGCACTGGCCTTCCCACTTCATGCAGCCGCTCACCCTGTCTTGGAGCACGCGGGCCTGTCTGGAAGAGCAGACGAGCCCGCCTGCAGCGTGGCAGGTGCATTTCTCCGAGCAGTCACTGGAGATCACGCTTTCCCCAGCCTGTAAGGAAATTCCCAGAGAACTCCATGAACACAATGAGAACAGTCACCTGATGGGATGGTGGGAGGGGACTCGGCTCTCTGCGGGGTGGTGGGGCACCACCCCGCCTCGCTATACCCTCTCTGCTGGGTTGGGGAATACTCAGTCTATGGCCCAAACCTTCAGGCAGGGCCCTGCAAGCAGTACAATATAAGCCCGAGTCCTGGGTCAGGGCAGGGCTTGCAAACAAACAGTCAGAAGCTCAGGCCCTCTGGCAGGGACTGAGCAAACAGTTTAACAGCAAACCTCAGGCTCCTGGCTTTGAGCGACCAGGGAGAGGAGGAGTCTGCCACCCGCAAGGTGGGTGGCAGGGGGGACGCAGGCCCACCCACTCCACTGCGTCCCAGCCCGGGGCCCTAACAGCGGCAAACGACCCGCTGCTGGGTCAGTGGGGATCTTGGCCGCAACTCACTGACATGGGCTCAGGCAGTGCTGCAGCCAGACTAGGGTCGGCTGCCCCCGGGCTACTTTCGAACTCCCACTCTGGGTAGGTGGCAACAGGTAAGCTTGGCGGCTCCTCCGTTCACCGGTTGGCATTAGACATTGGCTGGTCCGGCCAGTCCTCCTGGCTATTGGACTCAGTACAATGTAACTGGGTCAGGTTTAGCAGCCTGTGATGTGCAGGAGGTGAGACAAGATGATCTCCTGGTCCCTTCTGGCCTTAAACTCTATGACTCTATGAACCCAGAAGTTGAGGGCTATTCACCAGGCCACCCTGCCCCTCAAAGAGAGGACCACTGACCCCATTTTACAGATGGGGGAAAATGAGGCACCGAGTGATTTATTCTGGGACAGAGCTGGGAATAGATGTGTACCCATGATGCTTTAGTGATGCTCTTTCCTTCAATGAAAGATGGGTCTGTCCAAGCTATTCCCCTGCACCCCCACCTCCCATATGATGAAGCTGCAGTGTAGGGTATAGCTTCATGTCTCCATTATAACTCCAGCCTGGGGTTACAGCCCCACGTTGCTCAAACAAGGTGGATCAATTTATTCACAGCGTGTGGAAATGTGGATGATTAACTTAACTACATGCAAGTAAAGCCGCATGGGTGCCCATAAGGGCAGCGTTGAGCTCTAGGTTTTATATGTTGCCACCTTGCACACGGCTCTCCACAGTCACTCTCCAGCTTCTGCTGGGAAACTGGAAGAGCCCCACAGCTACAAGGGCATCAGCGAAGACGGCCGGACTGATAACCCAGCACCCACATTGTGCATGCCTCCGCAGCTAGCCGGGGACACGCAAGCCCCTCCATCAAACATGAAGCCAGTGTTGCACTGGCAGCCTTCAAAGCATTTCCTGGTGCATTGGGCAGGGGCAGACAAGCTGGCACAAGTGATACTGCAGGATTTAGTGCACAGCTCGTCATGGCTGTTGACAGAGCAGGCACGAGCTGGAGAGAGAGAGAGAGAGAGAGAGAGAGAGAGAGAGAGAGGAACTGGGGAGGGGGAAGCAGAAGAGACAGAGAAAGAGGAAGTCAGTGGTCAAGCTGGTTAAAACATATTTTATGTTCCATTCAATGTTTAAAGAACAACACATTTTCATCCCCCCCCCCCATTTTTTTCCATGGATGTTTTGGGGGATTTGGCTTTTCCAAAACCCACATTTTTAAATGTATCAACAAAAAGGGAATTTTTTTGCAAAACTTCCCAATGAATGG